AGTCCCGCTCCCCAATGAGCAGGTAGGGGTCCGCGAGCCATCCAGTCGCAGATCGTTGAAAGTAGCGCCCCCAGGCAGCTAGAAGGATTTTATAATTTGGGTCCGTATTTTATTGGTAATTTGGATTTTGGCCCATGAGTAGCTACCGAATGGTTTAGGGCTTTCTCGACTTTAAGGTTTTTTTGTACCACCTATATATAATCTCTTTCTCTTGTAATTGAGAGTTATAATTAAAAAATGGAAAATGATAATTATAGTAAAATCCTCTGTTTGATGTAACCTAAATTTAAGGGTGAACCTAGATAAATCTTGTGTCTTAATTTCTCTTTCTCGCATTTACTTTCTATTTCGTTATATTTGTGCATTTAATCCTAACAATCTATACCATCGACATTCGGCAATTGAAAGCCATAGCATCCTCGATGCCTTTGCAAAGAGAGGTCGAATCACTAATGTGCACACGTTTTTTTCTATGCCTAGGAGTTCGAGTTATGATCTACGGTGCCATTTATATAGGTACAACGAAAGGACGATTGAAATTGATGGGCACTAACCTCACGATTGAGAGAACACCAAACATCTCATTAGTGGTAAAACAAAAAAATTCAAGGGTGAAAAAATCCCAAATTGACATATTTGTGCTACATTTACTTAAAATTAATTTTCCTATGACGGAAAAAATCTCAAACTGGTAAGCCTCTAATAAATCTACTCTCCAACAATTCTATCCTTCGTTAATTTCCATCCAATAACTCGATAAAATTGCTGACGTGGAAACACACATGGCAAACAACTCGGATGATCGACAGTGGTATGGACCCAACATGGAAATTCAGCATAAACGAATCTTCAAAACGACGCTATTTTGAGGGAGACCGATCCGAAGAAAATGAACGGAGATTAGAAAATTTGCTAATATCTGCTGATATTGCCCCTGACAGTTTCCCCCACGTTTCGAAAAATCAGCTAAATTCGCCAAATCGGAGCCAATTTTGCCTAAATATTTTGGTAGATTTGTCACACGTCAGCCAATCTGGGGTTTCTGGGTAAATATATCGCGGATGTATCAGTTTATGATTTTTCTCTAACACGGAAATCAGTCTCGAATAAATATAGCACGGGCGTACCGATTCACAACCTCAAAATCCAATATCCCCAACACTTTTTTCTATTGTGTCAATGTTTGTCCTCAACAGTATAATTTCTCTAGCTCAACAATGATCTTGGACATTCCCAGTGATAAACTATATGCACAGAATTTTCCCCTAGGTGCATGTCAATGGTACGGTGTCAGCGGTACATCCATGTATGGTAGCGAAATCAAGAAAGATCAAGACGGAGGAATTCGTGCGGCGCATTTTAGGCCGAACGAGAATGGTAGCGAAATCAAGAAAAGATCAAGACGGAGGAATTCGTGCGGCGCATTTTTAGCCCGAACGAGAAGTCGAAATCCCGCCACGTCGTCTCGAGGAGGAAAACTTCCAAAATGGGAAATAGCAAAGTAACACGCGGATCGACGCGCCTCCGGGGCGCGTCTCGGGGCCACGCTCGACTTCATTTTGCCCTCGTACTCTCTCAATTCATGATCACCCGATGGAAAAAGATCGTGTGTAATCAATCTTCTAATCAAATCATGCCATGATTCCTCCTCCTCCTCCCCCTCCTTTTCATCAAATTTATTTATACATAATGATGTAACAGATATTTATATTATTAGTAGAATTGATCATTATATTATCTTTCAAATTATTTCCTATCATATTGGAAACATATTAGAAGAAACCCCATTTATCTTAAAATTAAGATAATTCACGTTTCGCCTATAAGTTTATCAATTATATATGCATGTACATAATATGTAGTTATGTCTCCCTTAACGGGGTTGTCATGCAATCCCCGCTGATATATTAAATCCTCATGGTTTGCATAACTACATATTATATTTGTGAGTCACGTGCGGTAAAAATGGAAGGAGTAGATATTATATTTCGTACAATCAATGTTCTCTCTTCTTTTCGCATAGGAGGAGATGCTGATGTGGTGAAATTTCAAGGAAAGTGACGAAACAAATAATCATCAATATTCAATTTCGAATAATCATATCGACTCTTATTAAACGTGCAACGACCTTTCTTGCCATCCTACTCAATCAGCTCGTGATTGGGAGAGCCATCATGCAAACTGCCTCGTGGCCGAGGGGCTGGGATGATGGCGGGAGACACGATAATAAATTCCGGGAAGCATCATTTTGGACCCGACATGTTTGCGTACCATGTTGAGCCCCGAAAAAACGAAAAAGGAAAGGAAAATCGAAGTTATACATATGTGCATATACACACACGGACACACAAATTTAGGTTGGAGGACCAAGAATCTAAGTGGGCCTGGTTGAAATGGGCCTTTTGAACTTGAAGGCAGGCCCGTACAAAAAGCTCCGGCGCGTGGAGGCCCGACGCGCCGGTGAAGAGAGTTGGGGACGTCGGCATGCAATAATTCGACGGACAGATTCTTTGGACCTTTTTTTTATCTTCCCCAGTTCACAAGCTCTATGATTGCATTTGTCTCGCCCAAAACGACGTGCAGTAGCACCTCGTCGGCGTCGAGTAAGAGAGAGAGAGAGAGAGAGATGGAGAAAAAGTGGAGTTCAGCTTGTTAGCCATCATTGCCCTTACATGTATTCTCTCTAATGCACCCAAATTAATCACACCATAACTCAAGATCCAATTATTATGTTAACCCTATTGCATGCATCGTTCACATGAACCGAGCTCGCATGCATGCACCGTCTGAAAGTAAACGATGTTTCTTAAACATTAGCTTGTGTAAAGCTAGGGAGGAACATTGCCTACTTACTGAATAAGACGAGCCCCACCCATCTGTTGAGGCCGAGGAGCGCTCTCCCTCGTCGCAAGCCGATGAGGCGCCTCTGTCGGAGGATCTTATCGGGCCTCTGCGAAGATGGGATCGCGTGCTTCGGAGATTTCCCGATCAAGGTCAAGACTCGGCGATATTTCGAAAACAAGTACCATTTTTGTATTGTGGACTTTCAATGTAGATCGTGGAGAGTCGACATGAACTCTGACCTAGTAGATCTCGTCAAAAGAAGATATTTATTTATTAAGATTCATTCGTTCCGAACAAGTGTGCTTGAACCTAATAGGTCATCACGGCAAAGTGTGTATAATACTGGCCATTTTGTTTGAGCTTAATGAAAGTTCAATTTTTTTTTTTTTCAACCTCTTTCTATTAAGTATAAATAAATGGAATCGGAGGCCCGTAATCTCGTCTCTTTGCTTGTCCGGCGCGACCCTTCCATTAGGACAACCATAACTCTGCTTCGCCGTCATGATCGGGAGAGAACTCGACATGCCCGGATTTTCTTTCTTGAACATCGGCTCGTGATGCACTAGTCTCTCTTCCTCTTCGAAGCCGGGGGCTACCATGTTCGAGAGGAAAAGGTGTCTCAAGGTACTAATGTATCCTGAGACCTAGGCTCGATTCGATCTGTTGAAAGTCTCTTTGGGGGGGGTAAAACGAGAGAGAATTTCTCCATGGAATTGGAGGTGTGACCTGAACACGACAGGGCAACCCATCCCTTCAATTTTCCAAGTGGGTGGTCCTCCAAAGAATTGACATTTCGATACCCAACATCTCCCTCTTATCCTGCGCACCCCCCCGGCCCTGCCCTTTCTCTGATCCTACCACAAACCCCACACAAATACGCCATTGAAATGGACTCATTATTATAACACCTCACTCCATCATCACCTCACTCTTTTCCCCTTTTTCTTTTTTCTCCCCAGTGTCCTAAGCCTGAAACTGTGAACCAACTTCAAAGGCAGAATCCCCCACCACCATGACCAGTGCCACAGAATGGAGCAGGGAAGAGGACAAGGCCTTTGAGAATGCACTTGCAATGCATTGGGTTGAGGACTCCAAGGAGCAGTGGGACAAGATTGCTTCCATGGTCCCTGGCAAGAGCCTTGAGGAATTGAAACTGCACTACCAAATGCTAGTGGAGGATGTGAGTGCAATTGATGCTGGTCAGATACAAGTCCCCAACTACGTGAGCGATGAGACCACCTCATCTTCGGCCGCCAAGGACAGGCCCGGCTTCTCCGGCGGCGGCGGCGGCGGCAGCTCCAGCTCGGCTGCGGATAAGCGGTCGAATTGCGGGTACGGCGGCGGGTTCGCGGGGTTGAGCCACGAGGCCGGTGGGCATGGCGGGAAGGGTGGCTCGAGGTCGGACCAAGAGAGAAGGAAAGGAATTCCGTGGACAGAAGAAGAGCATAGGTATATCACTTTAGCAACTTCTTGAGGTTAACATGAACATGAAATGTTGTGCTTGAGTACTTGTCCTTAAGGCATATTTGGATTACCTTATCCCATTAAAAAATGCAGAGTCAAGCTACTTGTGAGGTCTTAGCTTCTCTAAAATAGCTTTTTAAATTAAAGAATGATAATCTTGGAATCAGCACATTAATTTGATGTTAATTGGCTATTAATCAAATGTGATTGCTAGAAACCTAGTGTTTAATAGGGAGACACCAAGTAATGTTTTTCACTAATCACGAGTATGATATCGAATTGGCCAATTGGATTTACTCTGCTCTTGGGGATATGTCAAAGATAGGGTTTTTCTGGACAATAAAACTAAAGAGGGTGTCGAATTTTGCAGGTTATTTTTGCTGGGTCTTGACAAGTTCGGGAAAGGAGATTGGAGGAGCATTTCAAGGAACTTTGTGATTTCAAGAACACCAACCCAAGTGGCAAGCCATGCTCAGAAGTACTTCATTAGGTTGAATTCCATGAACAGAGATAGGAGAAGGTCCAGCATCCATGACATCACCAGTGTCAACAATGGAGATGTCTCAACCCCACAGGCCCCGATCACCGGCCAACAGGCCAACCAGAACCCGCCGAGTGTGCCCGCGATAGGAGCCTCCTTGAAGCACCGGGCTCATCAGCCACACATGCCTCCTGGTGTTGGGATTTATGGCGCGCCAGTGGGTCACCCAATTGCTGCTCCTCCAGGGCATATTGGATCTGCGGTTGGGACACCCGTCATGCTTCCACCTCCAGGGCACCACCCTCATCCGCCTTACATGGTGCCCATGGCTTATCCAATGCCGCCGCCGCCGCCGCCACCGCCTCCGCCAATGCATCAATAACAAGGCCAAGCCAACGCCTGCATAAATTGATCCACAACTGCATACTATGGGTTCCCGGATGAAGATAGCAGGGGATAAGGTGAAAAACAACATTGCAGATGAGGCCTGTTTTTGTAAGAGCAGCAATAATGGATGTACATTACTCTAATCTCTATAGAGCAATCCTTGTAATCAGTTCTCTCATTGTACATATGGCGGATTAGATAATCATTGCAAGTTCATTTTGATTCAAATCACTTGAATGTCCTGCTATTGAACCTTACAGAGGAGTCCATCTTTCTAAGAAAAATCTTCGATGGGGAGATCATTTACTGTTGTTTTTTCATCTTGTAGGAGAGTTTTAATAGACCATCTTCTGTCAGTTTGAAAGCCATAAGTCGGATAGGCAAGAAGTTTGTCGTGCCATGTCCAACCAAATGCACACGTACATTCTCTCAGTAAGTTGAAGCATTCAATGTTGTGCGTCTTCTCACCTTCCCCTGTTTACTTTGGGAAGAGAATCGACCAAACGAGTTCTGTACTTATTGATGTTCTGATCAATCAAATAACTCTCTTTTTTCAGTGGAGTGTTAGTTCGACTAGTGGCCCTGTCAAGTAAGAACCCTAAAGCTGGGATTAGTCGTGAAGTATAAGGCAAGGAAAAGCTAATAGGAGTACAGGACATCAAACCATCAAGCTGATGGTCCCAAGAAATACATTGATGTTTCCCCTAAAGACTAGATCTCAGAAGTCAATCATAGCTAATACTCTGTTTAATCGGGGAAAAAACCCAAGATAAGAGACCAGAAACAGTGGAAATAGAACGATAAATTGATGTTGGGAGTTGGATCACGGAAAGATATGTTGCTGTTTTATTTGTCAAACTAGTTCAAAAGTTGTAGCGTTTGTTTGGACCGAACCCATCTGCATTAAAACTGGAACCATTCTTTCATGGACTGAAATTTAGGCTGCTAACATTAGATCGGTTGAGATTTGTTTACTTATCAACATTAACGCATCGCAAACCGCCTTTGGATCCACACTCTTCTTCAGATCCATATGACAGATTTAAAGTACCAGGGAGAGGACCAGGCAAGAGGCGGTGGAACATGGACGAAGCAAAACACATGCCAAAGCCCACGCGGCGGCTCAAACGTGGATTGTTGGCAATTACTGGTCTAATTGTGGTTAATCGTTTAAAAGCACAAAAACCTGTGAAATCATCAGACATGAGTTGAACATGTTAAACAGAGTATTAGCTTTGATTGACTTCTGAAATCTATATCATTAGGGAGAAATCCTTAAATGTCTCCGGAGGGTGGAGGGCCCGAAATTGCCAAGACAAGTGGACCCAAAATTTATGCAGGAACAGAAAACCAGTGAAAACTAATCATGCCCTTTTGCTAGTAGAGACCCACAAAAGGGGCCTAAGTCAATCCAAAGAGAAGCATTTTTTATTTTCATTTTAGGCTACAAAGTATTTATGCTCTTTTTGGACCCAATGAAGCAATCCAATCCTGGAAGGATATAGCAATTTCCAGTCCAGGACTCTGACACGCACCAGTCTCTTGTATCTTTGTTTCTAGAGACCATGATTCCATGAGTCCACTCATAACCAAACCACCTAAATTTATCATTTCCACTTGTATGAGAGGGTTTTGGCAAAAAGAGAGAAGAAAACTAGTGTGAGATGGTGGATTTTAGGACTTGGAGCTGAGTTACCTGGCACATTTCTTCTTCGGATGGGTAACAGCAAGCAGTTAATTCTTGAGAGCGTCCCGTAATTTGGGTTGATCAAATTATTGCATAGCAAATTCTAGATATCCAGCAATACAACCATATATGATTTGGTATAGAGAAAAGCATGAATACTTAATCAAGGAAGCAAAACATTATGAGTCGTGCCACCCAAGGAAGATTATGAATGGGTCATTTTGCTCCGATATCAGTGATAATTTGAATTATCACATTGCTAATGATAATAATAAAACACGTGAAGCTGAGAAAAGAAGTTAGTCCAGCTGGTGAAGACGTTCCTCTTCCAAAACTTGAAATTCGTGTCATCATGCATTCCCTACGCAATTCAAAAAAGAAGTGACAATCCGAACTGTCATAGGGAAAGTAACACTTCCATTGGCAATCAAAATGCCCATTTCCCCATAATCATTTGTTTTAGAAATGTCAGATATTAAAGAAGAATTAGGAAGGCTGATCGGCACCATCCTTGTCTAGTCCACCACGATGATCTACACAACGAAGGAACAGAAAAGGATCAAAGTGCTGATAACAAGTTGACCATCTTTAAAATGCTATGCTGACTCGATCATATTAAAGATCTCTCTCCCTCTCTCTCTCCCACCAAGAACTCACAATTTGAAATTAACCATTGAAGGTTTGGCTCAGCCATGTGCAAGGCCCTTCAACAGATTACATTAAACAAAAGACATCCTGAAGGCTTTTAGTAGCTTGATCATTTGAAGACAAAAAGGCAAAAGTTCAAGAGATCCCACTTTTGCAGGTCTTAAACTAGGAAGAGGAACTTCAGGAAAAAAAAACCGAGCCAAAGATTGGGTTTTCTTGCCTAGTCTGAGTCTGATCTCTCAGATATGAACAAAAAGGTTAAGAAAAAGGGGATATTAACAAGAGAGAGAACCCACCCATCGGTGACCGCGTTGGTTTGCGCTCAGTTCCTTTCACGAGAGGTCATGGGTTCAAAACTCGCCCATCGGTGATTTAAGTGGGGGGTCGTGGCGGTGGGATGCTGCGCTAGCCCCCCTCGAGGACTAGTCGGGCATCACCGCTGGTTTGAGCCCTAGCTCGCCGGTCGCGCGGACACCTCGATTATCAAAAAAAAAAAAACAAGAGAGAGAGAGAGGACAGACTTTGAGAGAGGCTCCTTCTGTACGCTTGCACTGGTAACCGAAGAAGAGAATGAAAAAGAAATGAAGAAAAATCTGGCATCATCACTTGCTTCGAAGCTGGTGGCGAGGACTGAGGACTGCAGTAATTCCACCATCTATTTTTTTTTTTTTCTCCTTTTGGCTTTAATCTTGCCAGCACAAGAGCATGACAACGCATCTCCTTATTATATAGAGCCTGCCTCTTTGTTCCTTCATGAACCCTCCCACTCCCGGTCCTCTACTTGAGAGCTTTCTTTTAGGGCTTTCTAGTGCGGCACTTCTCATCATCTTCATCTTCCTCTTGAACGAAGCTCTCTTTCTCTAATGTGATGGGGTCATTTCCTTCAATCCACTTTTCTTCACCCCAAGATTCTTTCTTCTTTCTTCTTGAATGGATCACTTTTCGGCTTCTATTGATATGAGGTTGGCCTGGTAATGATCATTGACTTCCTGAAACTGAAAGAGGAAAGGAGTCATGAGGCTCTTCTTATAGGAAGATAGGGTGTGTGGTCCACTCCACACCCTCATTGAGCTCCAACCAAAAGGACCAAAAATATTCACCAAGAGAATGTGCAATCCAATTCTCTTACCAGGTACTCTGTTGTCCCACTTCACCCTATAATACACACCACTACCATAAAAGAAAGAGAAAATTAATTGATGGGTTTCAATTTACCCCTTAATCGCATAATAAATACGTAACTAATTAAGTTTAATGAAACTAAAGGGGTTGTTTTGTGAACATAAATCAAAGTAAAAAGTAATTTATAAGTTGTTACAGATAAAGAACTCTTTCACAATAATTCATTATGCTTATCAAGATGAACCAATCATTTAGTGGCCGATGCTGCCGACCAAATTAAGGAATTCAGTTCACCTCATAATAAGGATGCTTGTCAAGCTCTCTCTCTTTTTCTCCAATAAAATAAATTTTGTGATTTTTCGTGGCCATCTCCTTGTTCGTCGAAAGAAAGCTCAAAAGCGCTTCATTCGGGGGTCCAAGCTCTCGCTAAGTTTGAACAGAGTGCGAAATTTGAGAAGTCGTGTAGCTGTAATGTACGGAAACAAGGGCCAAAGGCACACGCGATGTCCACGAGAGAGACATCGCGACTCTGTGGCATGGAGGACAACCTAAGTTTTATGAATGCACAATCTTGAACCACGCAAGCCGATTTGGCCTTAGCCCCCCACCCTCTTAACGGCACAAAAGGGTCACGCCCCATCTTTATCGTTGGGTGTTTTTGTGCATGAGGTTTGAATTGCATTCTCATCCCTCTCATCCCTTTTCTTTTGGGTAAAATGTGTTGGAGAAGCATCCTACCTCATTCCCTTGTCAATTCAACCACGTTTGCTGAAGCAAAAAAAGAGGCCACGAGTTTGCCTGCTGCCACCATCTTGTGTAACAGCAATGAACAAGAACAATGATCAGTGAATTATAGCTAAATCTTGAAAGCACGAAATCTGATCCGGTTACCCCGCCAAATTACGACACCAGATTCCGCAAGAGAGCCGATCATTTTAGCATGGCGTCCCCGAAATTACCTTCCTTCTTGGTTTTAAGCACCTTTGGATTTTAGCATTAAAATGGAAAGAAAGAAACCCCATCTCCACACAAGTTTGACAGTGAAGAAGAAAGCATGGAATGGATAAAGTTTGTCAGCAGACATCGGTCAAATTTTCTGTAATGACCCCCACCACCTCAAGAGGTAGGTCACAGCTGAGAGGGAAGCAACAGTGCAAAGCTTAAATGAGGCCACAACTTTCAGGGAAGGAGTGGTCCCCTAACTCCTCTCTCACATCAGATATTCAGAGGAAATAAAATTGAAAGGGACAATAGAGAATCAGCATTACTTCTAAGTACAATGTCCAGATCTATAGTAATTCCTGTTAGCAGTCCAGGGTTTGACCGGCTTCCTCACACCTGGCTCACCCATTCCCGATCCTCCTCTGGCCAAAAAAAACTACCGCTCTCCTCCAGAAAAGCTCCTCTGTTGAAAAGCTCCTTCATCCTGAGAATGTTTATACAAGAAAGTAATTATGATCAGCAATTCTAAAGGTGGATACTAAACACGATGCAAGAGTCACTACGAAAAATGAGCATTTATGTATTGTCTTAGCCACTTGAAGTGTGTGTTCTAAGTGAGCGAGATGTTTCTGATTGAATTAGCATCTTTTTTATCTTCAATCCCGTCTTTTTGGCCCGCACGAAGAAACAATCTGCCTATCACAAATTTATGTCACCTCTGGAATCCACTCATCCCTTTCTGCGCAGTTTTGCATCTTGGCCTCATGATCTGAGTTCTTAGGCTGACATTGAACGACAAACCATTGGCTCTTGTTACTCCTGTATGTTTATCGAGAAATTCCGGTTTTGCATAGTTAACATAGTTAGAAGCAGACTACCACTAGCTCAGGAGAAGATCCCCGTCCCACAAGTGGTGGCACTAGGCAGACATTTAGCAAGAAGAGGGGGAAGAGAAAAGACAGGTTAACACTTGCTAATTGCTAACCTGTTTTCACAGAACAGATTGTGCAATAGGATGCTTATGAGATCATTTCTTATTCATAACTCTCTAGGAAACTGAGATATAAAATTACTCGATGAAATTGGACAAGAATATCCTCTTGATTCTGAATAAAGGTCTTCTCAAAATACTCTTCGGTCAACTCACAGCCACCCATATAACTAGTATTAATTCAAGAAAGGGTTAGAACCTAAGCATGAGGCCAATGTGTCACAAAGCTTGGTAAGGTCAATGCATATAGACCACATATTTCGCAAAGACCGATTTGCCACATCTTTAAACTAAAAGGATGGACATAAGAAACTATGACTCATCCAAGGGAAGCCACCTCTGTGCCAGACTGAGCTCTTGTGCCGTGCCTGTGTGTCGGTTAATAAATCAAGGTCTACATCTTCCCATCCAGTTAAAGCAATGTCCTTCCATCATTTAGCATGGAAGCACTGTCCTTGAAAGTAAATTGTTCCAATAGTCTCATGACAATTAGAATTTACTATATGTGAGATGAGACGGCAAAAATAGAGAAATCGAATAAAGTGAGAGTTTTTATACATACAACATTGACTATTAAAGCAGCAATTTACTACTGATAAGATAACATTGTTGTGAGACATTAAAGAAATGCGATACGAGAAGAAAGATTGCCATACCAGTACTAGAGTCTTAAAGATCTTCGACCATTTCTTCCAGAGATGTAGAGATAGAACTTTGTAAGGCATAATTCCTTTTTGTGAATATATCCATCTCCTTTTCGAAGGATTCTTTTTCTGCTAATAAAGACTGCAGTCTTTCACTTTCACTTTCTCCTTGGTCGATTCCCCGTTGAAATTCCAGGCATTGTCTAATGAACCCTTCCCTGACAGAATTAAAATTGTCGTAATCATTTTGAGGGAAATTTGTTGCAGAGATCTTACAGGAAATAGAAAACGTGAAGTAAGAATAACGTTGGGTGCATAGGCGTCTGAGACGAGTAATTTTGACCCATACACACCAACAGGCATATTCCAACCCCAAACTTTCTATAGATGTCACACTTTTAGCAAGAAATTTTCTTGCTGAGTACTTCACACCAAATGCCAGTGGCAGAAAGCTGCTGATTTGTCGCCAAGAGCTTGTCTGCAGCAAAAGAGTTTCCTTTTCCCGACTAGTTGTTGCGGATTCATTAATGTTCAGGCAACGAACTCGGTTTTTGTGGCTATGGAGTGGCCACTGTTCGCTGTTTATGCGTTTTATTGTAATGGCTAAACCTGAGCTTCTACACGGCTACAACGACGGACAGAACATTGATTTTGGTATCAACTAACAAGCAAAGTCGAGGTGGAAATAATTCATCTTAAATAAGAGTTAATATTTACAATGCTTCTTTCGTGATCCCGTGATTTGCAACATAATAAGGTATATTCACAAGCAAGTACGTTCATTAAAGCCCATGCGACAATGTCGAACGATTCTCGGCGGAATTTGATCTTGAAAACAGAAGTCAGGGTATTGCACATCTCGGATTCCAAGAGGTTCAGAGGAATAATCAAGCAAGCATCTCTACCACATCCCTATATGCTTTCCAACTGAAATCGATCGATTACCGTTTACGGGTCATCCTTTCTTGGATCTCATCTCTCTTCTTTCGGAGAGAGCGCAGCTCCTGCTCCGTGCTGTTAACCGACTTCCTTGATTCAGCTGTCAAAGGGGAAAAAAAAAAAGAAACAAAACGATGCAAATATAAACACGTGACGTGAAAGCACGAAATAAGCGACAAGGTGCCACTTCGTCATTGGAAGAGTACGACGAGAAGATTATCGGACACACGCAAATGCTGCAGGAAAATCCCGCCGTCAGACCAAGTACTCCGAAGTTTCTCGAATCCCCTAAAAGTTTTTCACGCCGATTACTGCCGTACACTGCCGATTGTCCCTCGAGCAAGTGATTCAATGTAATTGGCTGACAATCGCAAGGCGGAGCGCAGTAACAGCTCCGGTCTCGGTGAAAAATGGCAATCCTCACAAGAACCAAATGGGGCGGAGGTCCGGTACTACATCTACGAGGTCTACACCGGCATTCCACAAATCCTCCGATCGCACTGACCGTGAACGGACGAGAAAAGACGAGCAGAAAGACAGGTGGCGCGATACGGGTTTCCAAGTGCCAATGGCCTAAAATCGATTCAAAGGCGTCGGTAGAACGGCATTACCAACCGGCCACCGCAGCTAATCCGATGAGCTCGAACCGCGAGACGTAGAGCGACTCAGTCAGTTCCGCCTCCCTCGTCGCCAGGGCGGCTTCGGCCTCGGAGCACCCGACGACCTCCGATTCCGTCTCCCTCGTGACATGGATGCTCGACTCGATCTCCTCGTTCACCTGCTCAAACGACGCAGCCTCAATTCAACTCGGACGAGCTTTTCGCCCAAAATCCGGATCGCGAATTCGCGAGGTAAGGAATGGGGGAAGGCAGGCGCGCGGAGCCCTAAGACGAGAAGGAGATACCTGATCGAGCATGTCTTTGAGGCGAGAAATCTGGCACAGGATTGCGCTTGAATCTTCCATCCTCTCTCTCTCTCTCTCTCTCTCTCTCTCTCTGTTTCTGTCTCTCCTCGGGCTCCCGCCATTTATATATATTTGCAAATGCAGGTAAAAGGAGGCCCAATTCCTTTAAAAAGTACAAATTCAAGTTTCGGTTCTGGCCCGAACCATTTTTTTTTTTTGGGTCTCGTAAGAATATACATAATTTATCTCGGGTCCCAATTCTGGCTTAAAACTTTTTTTTTTGTCTCGTGAAAACACACAAACTTTAACCCGTGTCCCCATTGTGGCCCGGACTCTTGTTTTTTTTTTTTTGTTTTTGGTCTCATGAAATAGCGCCGACTTTCAGTTGGTACCCAAATCCAAGCCCTCGTCGAGTTTCCGCAAAGTACATGTGGAATGGCACGTCGAATCTTTTAACGGCATCATTGGATGAAAACTTAACGAGAGTCGGAGTTAGGTATCGACTAAAAGTCGGTTCTTTTTTACGAGACAACAAAAAGTTTGGACCAAAGTTGGGATTTGAATTAAAGTAAGTGATTTTTTATGAGATAAAGGAAAGTTCGGGTTAGAATTGGGACGCGACCTAAAATTTATGCTTTTTTAATGAAACCAAAAAAAAAAAAGGTTGGGTCAGAATTGCGATCCGACCCAGAGTTGGTGCTTTTTAAAGGAATTTAATCCACAAAAGGAAAAAACATTGGTTTTTCGATTTTAGTCGACTTTGAAAATTTGAGATGGAGCTCGAGCACTAGTCGAGCTTATAAAAAACTATGTTTGGTCGAGCTCGAGTTTGAAAAGTCGAGTTCAATTGACTTCGAATCCCGCATTCGAGCTTAGTCGAGCTCAAGTCGCAAATTACATCGACTAGACGCACCTAAATGCGATCCTAGTTCCCGCCGAATTTAACGGTTCGCATTCAATTCTTTACTATGTGAAATAAATTACAGAACTCATAATTTATATTTCTTTCTTACTGTAACTGTAAATTGTGACCATGAGTTTTTCTTTTAATCATCCTTAACCAAGGAATAAAAATGGACAGGTTGATCAGACATCATTATGCAGCTTGATTGGTGCGAGATTTGTCTAACTCGGCCCTAAACCTTATTCGCGAAATATTTCGATACGGTCATAATCCTAGCAAGGCAAAAACATAAAATGAACCGGCTCGATTGCATCCATTCTCCTAGCAAGGCAAAAACATAAAATGAACCGGCTCGATTGCATCCATTCTCACGGACGCCGTCCGAACAAAAATCCAGGCCGGGGCAACAACAGATCAGTTCATAAGAGAATGAACATAGACGGAACTCCCCGATCCAAGCACACCAACACCCTTCGATCTGTTCGGATCCGCCGCGTTACTCTAGGAATCAGGAGATATGGCGGATTGCTATCTTAGCAAGCGCGGAGCGAAAAAAATGGCAGCAATAGTGAACGGCGGCATTATTCGTGCATTGGAATTGCCCAGGAACTCAGGCAGGCAACAGAAGGGTACAGCTACAAAAAATCGATGATGATACGCCGTTAAAGAGTGCATAAGCGCCCTTCGATCGACTTGTTACAAGACCACCATCAAAAGTATCGAGTATTAATCCGTGCTACTGATACGTCACGCTTCCTTGGGCCATCCTGCATGTCAGTGTCCGCTAACATACACACTTCTCCACACGGGCAAAATTATGAAACATTCCTGGAATGCATTGCCAACTCTCTACGATGTTTGCACATAATCAGCACAGATGATCTTATGTAATACCAGGCAGGAGTTCCAAGTTCTGGTCATCAGAATAAAGGAGGTTCACCAAAATGCAGGCTACAATGGACTGACCATGGTCGACTGTGAGATTGCTTGTGGCGCTCCAGCAATAGCTGAATTCGCACATTCACATAATTACTCTCTAGACGGCCGGAGTCCATGAGCATCTCTGCTAGACGAGACGACAATATTGACATTTCTCCACAGAGCTGCCCCCAAAGCAAGGATAAGATTGTGCAGCTTTCTGAACCACATGCTTGTATTGTTCAGTTCATGTTGAGCACACCGGAAGATGTGATGGCTTAATTTCGTCCCTCAAAGCCCTCCTTGGTGAGAATAGAAAAGTAAATACTTCTGCTTCATCCTCAACCTAATGTGAGGTTGACACCAAAGATCATCAGGCATGTTAGTAAGGACAAACTAAGAATAAATCAAGTAGATTGGCCCATTCATCAACAGTGGCATTTCTCTTTAACAAAAAGAAATTCTGGGACAGGAGAGGAACTCACTCACTACTTGCTCCTGGAGAAAAAAGGGGAAAGGATCAGGCAGGGAGGTTATCGTGGATAAGGGAAAGGCGCTCAGCAACCAAACCCCAAGATTCACAAAATTTTGCCATACACTGAACTAAGAACAAGCACAGAGCCTATTCAACTTTACAGTGCATCAGGCATACAAGAAGATCAGCGCATTGTAACCCTACAAACACAAGGAGCTAACTCTAGTTACTCTACTAGTGGGTACAAAAGAGAAAAAAATGTAAGATGAATTGCTAAGGAACAAAAGAAAGGGAACAGCAAGCATACTCTTAGAAACAAGCTTTGAATTTCAGTGAGGATAACATAACCTCTGATGCAACAAAGTAATTGAACAGATGCCCTCTTAGACAATGTGCTGAGCCTGCTGACATTTGCAGTATCTGTAAGGTGTGGATTCATGTATTCCACAAGGACAATAGCCGAGCAATGGAGAAAATAGGCAGGTGTAACTAGTTGCTAGACAAATCGATCTTGAAGAATAATCCTAGAGAATAGACACAGGTTTCAGTGAATGCCAAAACAGTACGGTAGATGGCACTATCAGGCAAAGGTCAGTGCTCTTCAATTTCAAGTCGATAGACAGAGAATCCAGCATTTTACGAGCATGATCAGCAAAAGCCACCTACTTCATTCGCGCACATCATCCACCAAATCACATCAACCCACCACCAAATTCTCCGCTACTTGATTCTCGACATCCTCGCAACTAAGATATAAGCCATGGGCACGGGCACAAGAACCGTAAACTGAGTACCTCTTTCATGCAGCTATTGAACACAAAAGCCAAAAAAACAATCCAGTGAAGAACATAATCAACATCAAAGAGACGAAACCAGATGCTTAGACATGGGAAACAAAGCACATTCAGTCCAAACCAAAATTGACTTCATGAAATGGCAATTCCTCTTAGCCTGTGTGATTCCCAGAAACTAAAAAACAAAAGAAAACGAAAGAAAGATCAAAGACCCGAATCTGAGATTCACACTTGGTTATGATACAAAAAGACTGTCCTCGAGTAATTCATTCAGTTAAAAAAGAGCTAATAAGGAAAGAATGAGGATCGAACTAAGCAGAATCTTCAAGTTCGTTCATCTTCTGCTGCTGCTGCTGCTTCTTCTCCAATTCCATCTCATACTGCCGCAATCTCTCCTTCATCTTCTCCTGTCACATGTTAACAAATGCAAGTTCGAACATCCTCAGACATAACCCAGAATCCCCAGAAAACAAAGAGAACAGAAGAGGAAAAAAAATCAGACCTTGTAGCTGATCTCGACGCGGTGCATGACGTAAAAACCAAGAACGCCACCGAGGATGGTCCCGGCAATGATCCGGACGTAACCCCATTTCTGCGAACGCGGAGGCCCCACCATTAGCAATCGCTCCCGTTCCTCCGCCGCCGCCACCGCCGCTTCTTCACTCCCAGTGCCGGTCGCCGCGACGTTGACGGCGAGCCGCAGAACGCCCCCGCCGCTTCTCGCAAACGTCAATCGCAGCTATCGGAGAAGGGGGTCTGGTAATCGAATTGCGCCTCCGAACGGCACCGAGCGCGAGCCCTCTTGATAGGTCGCTCGGTGCGCTCCACGACGGTATAGAAATCCCAGATGCGCGGCGCTGCGGCGGCGGCGAAACGGTGCACTTCCAGACCGCCCCGGTCAAGCTCAGCTGCGTCTCGCGCTTCAGCCTTCACTTCAGCTCGGTTTTAGAGGAGGACCATAGAACCAGAGCGGGCGAGCAGAAAACCCGTGAAGCCCAAACACCCGGACCGGCCCAATTATTTTCGGGCTCTGATAGGCCCGGTCTGGCCCACCAGGCCTAAAATGCTCGGTTTTTTTTTTTTTACTTCGGGCGGTCTCTCGGGCTTCAGATACTTGCGGCCCGAATGGCCCGGACGGGCCCGACTTAATATAAAGAAATAAAAATATGGAAAAATGACACAAACACTCCATGAACTTTAGCCCAATATGCAATTTGATTCCTAAATTTTTAATTTGTTTAATGTCGTTCATGTACTTTAACCCAATATGCAATGCGGTTCATGAACTTTAGGCTAATGTTTAATGGAAATGACTACATTGAACATTTTTATATAGTTCATGGACTGAATTAAACATGTACCAAAAGTTCAGCAATGACATTGAACAAATTAAAAATTCAAAGACCACATTGAACATTAGCCTAAAGGTCAGGAACTACATTGAACAAATTGAAAGTTCAGGGACCAAATTGCACGTTAGGCCAAAGTGCAGGGACTGTTTATTTCACCATTCCTAAAAATATAGGTCCCTGAACTCTCGACGAATGTGAAATATGGTCTCTAAGCTTTTAATTTGTCCCATGTTATCCTTGAACTTTACCTCAACGTGTAATGTGATCCGTGAACTTTTCATTTGTTCAATAGGGTCCCCGGACTTTTGATACATGTTTAATTCAGTTCCTAAATTATATGAAAATGTTTAATGTTGTCATTCCATTGATTCAAGTTCAAAAATAATATTGAACTTTTTTCATATGGTCTGGAGACTAAATTGAACATATACTGAAAGTTTAGGAATCAGGTTGAACAAGTTAAAAGTTCAGGGACGCCATTGCACATTGGGCTAAAATTCAAGAATCGTATTGAATAAATTAAAAATTCAGGGATCGCATTGTACTTCAGAACAAAATTCAAGGACCATTTGTGCTATTTTAACTATATAATACATATGAGTCTAAGAAGCTGAACTCGCTGTTTCACCAAAAGCCAAAGAGCAGCTTCAGAAGAAGAAGCAACGGGAAGAGAGCGAGAGTTGCAGATCCCAAAGTTGAATCGGAGATGGTCGGAATCAAGAAAGAGAGAGTGGCTACTGGCTGATCTTTTGCTTCAAGAGCATCGAAATCAAAACCAGAATGCGATTTCTTCATCGCTGGCGATGATGCTAACTCGGATCAATTCTTCTTTGAGGTACCATCTCAAACGTTGTCTTCCGCTGTCCATCTCTCTACTTGCTTCTTTTTTTACCTTCCATTTGGTTTAATTCCGTGACTCGATTCCGATGATACTAGTCGTTCGTGTTCTGCGTTTGAGGTTGATCTGATGCGCAGGAATGTAATCCGATCGAACAATTTGTTGGGCACGTCCGGAATGACTTTCGGAATCTAATGTTGTCGTCCGTTGATCCGTATTTCGGTTTTTACATGCAGGAAGCGATATTGATGGGTGTGTCGGAGATTAAAGATTGCTGATTTAGTGATGGGTTAACTAGCTGTCGGGCTGATATGCTGTTCTGCAAAATGATTGATCTTTCTGAACTCTAGTTGGTAATGTGTGCACTTGTGAACAAGTTGGGGGTTGCTTTGGAGTGGAGAATTTTTCATTGTTGGAAAGGGGTCTTTGTCAAATGCAGATATTCTTTAAGAATTTGAAGGTTGGGTTCTCTGATGGAGCATACCGCATAGCGGAATCATCGGTTTCTGCATTGGATTGCGAGTGGATTATGCGAAGCGTGCGATTGTCTAAATAAAGTTCGTGGATTTCGGGTTACTCAGAAGCACCTTGGTTGATGTTTTCTCTCCTACCGAAGAGCGCCATTCCTCGTCTCCTGTGCATTTTGGGGAAATTCTGAAACGTCTGTAAAGGGTGTGACTAGGAGGAAAATGGTTGGTCGGGACATAGAGATGCTTCGAAGATGAGAAGGGGTTACTTCGTGAAGAATTCGATTGCTTTCGTGTGCATGGTTGTTTCGCTGTGTTGCTTTCTCATACTGTTTCTTTCGACACTCAAGCTTCCAGAGGTATCATCCAGTAATGATGCTGTGAGATCTCACCGGACTACAAAAGACAGGAAATTCTCTGAGAATTGGCATTTAGGGATGTTCGGGAATATGTTGGTGGAAATGCTGCCACAAGACCTTGCTTTCACCATCTTTGTCCCTTCGGAGAAAGCATTCTGGCGTGATCTGCGGCTGAACGTGAATGAAAGTTTTGCTGCAGAGAACATAAACAACACCTACGCGATTGTTTCGCGTGTCCTCGGATTCTCTGCTGTCCCTCGAGCTCTTACCTCAGATGCAGTGCCTGTAGGCAAGGAGATCTCTTACGATTCCTTGTCAGGGTTTACTTTGTATATATCAAAGGCTGTCAATGGAAAGATAGTAGTCAATAGAGTCCAATCCGAAAGTTTGGATAGAAGGAAGGGCGAGATTGTTGTGCATATCATGGATGGAGTCATCATGGATGCTGATTTTAAACAATCGGTTCAGCCAGATTATGATGAAGGCCGATGACTGCAAGCCACGGACGCATTGAACTGATGATGTTCTTTCCCGCTAATCACAAGTGGTCAAGTACCAATCGAACACAAATGACTGTTGCGCAGGAGCGAAATATTGTCTAGCATATACAGTGTTGACAAAATTGGAAAGCAGAAGTGTGTAAACTGTCTCTCTCTCTCTCTCTCTCTCTCTGTTGGGGTGTTTGTCTCTGTCAAAAACAAACACCGTTGAGCATTTTCATGTCAAATTGACCAACTATTCGACAGCACTGGCATCTCCATTTAGTAAAAAAGGGCTCCAAAGGGAGAGTTGCTACTGAATAAAGGCAAAGTCTCCGAGCAAAGCCAACACCGAGCTACTAAAGAGATACGCTAAACTTAAAGAAGTAAACATGCTACTGGGCTATGCAGCAGTGCATTCGGAGGCAGGACAGTAAGCACGATAAGAGAGGGCTTGGCTGGACAAGTTGGTATCTCAGATAAAATATATCACTCCTCAATACCAGAATATGGGGTAATGATAGATATGTCACCTAATAGGGGATTATACCTATATAACGACTGCTGAATACCCAGTATGGATGTGCTTTTCAAAATTAAGGTGATAAAGGGAAAAATCCGGTATCTTTTTTAGAGTAATCGTTTTTTCATGCACATTGTTCACCTGATTGCACGAGCCAGATTGTCAACTAGCGTGCTTGAATGTCTATATGTCAAGGTAAGAGCAGTAACTACTGTATAACGAAGTGTAAACAAGTAGTAGCTTCATGCAAACAAATAGTACCACACAATTAGAATTGGTTTATACAGAGTATAAAGTGTGTTACAAATCTTCAATGGGCATTCCATCCCAAGCAGTTAACTTCCCGCAGACAACAAGATGGAAGCTTACCGCGATATGTAGCTTTCTACTGTACGCAACTATTCACACCGGTATAATACAACAACAGATTTTAAGTGCCTAATAAATGAACAAACATGTGACGGAGAATCCTAAAACCAAATTCTCCGACTCAGAACTTAGCTACTAGACTGTCCTTTCCTCTTAAACTTCATGCTTTTTTCACTTACTTGCCGCTTCGGATCTGGATCCACCAGCAGTACTCTGGACATAACATAAGCCAAGAGTTCTTCATTATGAGAGAACGTAAAATCCAGATGGGCATACTCAAGCTCATTAAATGACACATTCACACCAGATTTCTTCATTAGTCTGTAATGCTTTCTAACCATCGACGGCTTAATTACAGTGTCCTTCCTTCCAGCAACTAAATCAACCGGTATATTGATGAACCCGTAGTACTCGCCTAAATCCAACGGCTCTGGAGATCCATAAACGTCTAAGTTGGCAGATGCACTCCCATAATCATACATTCTGAATTTCCCGGAACGCTTCATTTGTGCTAGGTGAAGGGCCAAATTGAAGGACACACCGGGCATGTCATTCATGTTGTAGTGAGGCAAGCCTAACACACCAACCCAATTTGAGCTGTCTCCGCCAACAACGTAACTCATTAGGGTTTGAACCACTCCTCCAACTGCAGGGTAGTTATGAAAGTCCCGAGCCAATTTGTTCAACAACATCCGGAAAAACCTCGTGGGAATGTAGAAGGCTGGTATAAGAGGAGCCATTACAGGAGCGAATGTAAGGAAGAAATACTCCACTAATGTGAAAACTATATTGGAGTCATGATGAAATCCGGCAGGTGAGAGTAGAATTAATCTTGAGAGCCTATGGGGCTTCTCCTCAATCTGTCGTGTGACCACATACATTAGCATAGCAGCCCCACCCAAGCTATGGCAAATAGCACAAAGTTTGAAGGGCTGGTTGTTGTCTGTCTCTTCCATAATCTCCGGCTGGCTAAGTTTCAGTTCAGATGTTTTAACCTGGTAAATCTTCTCTATCATAGCTGGAATATCCTCAGTTCCATGCTCATTGATGGAATATCGCCAATATCTGCATTAATTGCTATTTGCTAATTTCAAACTCATCGATGGGACTACAAACTTCGCACAATGAATGCAAAATGGAGTTTTGACAATAGATCAAGAAATAGTGCACTTACTGTTGTGAGGAAATATTCTTATCATTGTGCTCACGGGAAACCAAACCACGAAAATTTCCCAGAAAAACATCATATCCTGCAGTATATTGAGATAAGTCAAAAGATCATGTCTAACAGTTGATGTTATCCACGGCCAAAAAAAACACTGACATGATCTAAAAATTGCAAGTCCTTGAAGAAAATTTTGTACCTTGATCAAAGGCTGCAAAAGCCGGAGAACCAACAACCCCGTTAGACACCCAACTGGACAAGAAAATCTACTAGTGAAAAGCAGGAAATAGGTCCATAATATATCCAATTATCAAAACAAGGAAAACCCATCGTACACAGTATTGAGAACATGGTAAAAATTAAAATATTTTTGGAAGAAAATTAGAAGATATGAGTCAGAAAAATTATACTAGGGCAAGATGTAATTCCATAACTTAAATGAACAGCAACATGAAGATCAATCCAAGCCATAAATGATTCATAAACAGCTATAGACATGAACTTTGGATTTGTAAATGAAGCAGCACTCAAGACCATTTTGAGAATCCCCAGCACAGGAAGCTACAGACTATACTAAAGTGGAAACACTACAAGCAAAGAAGGAAAACAACCAAAATTAATAATGAATGCCCAGTGCTTACCCCATTGATGAATCCAATATGCCATGCTGTAAATAAACTGCCTTCCGGGCATCACGTCTGTGGCAAAAGTTGACCCATAAAACACCAGAGTTGCAACAAGATCACAAACTGAAATAGAAATTGAGTAAAATATACCTAGGGATTCTTTCCAGAAGAAGCACATAGCCATCAGCAGTGATGACATGAATAGCTTCATATGGGTACCTGAACAGGTGGCATGGTGAGAGGGTGCAAGAGAAAACACCTCCAACAAGAGAAAAGAAAGAAGCCAACAGCCTTTTAACTATTACCCGAGCTCAGTTATGACATCTTGACATGTCCGAGCATCTGTATTTAGAGAATGATGAAAGGAAGTTCCATTTTGAGTTTCAGCTGGCTCAGTCTCAGGAGCAGAGGCATCCGACCTGCTGCCACGAATATCATCACTGCCAGTGCTACAAGGAAAAAACCATCTCCACAGTATTGCGATTACTTCTAGCGGTGAGAGAAGGCAGCGTGCTGCCTTCTGAACAATATCAAACAGAGCCTCTATAAAGATTTCAATGGCTAGATGAAGATCCTGGATCAGTGTAAATAAATCAAACTGATGAGCACAAGGAAAGCATCTCTAATTAAAACAGCAGACCATCTCATAAGGAATCAACCACGCTACTCTTCACCATACCTCAATTACTCCACGTCGTCTGTCGGTTGTCCGGTGTATGATGTGATCTTTGAGATTGTGCAACTTCTTTACAGAGCTTATGTGTGAAGACTTCTCACTTTCCGTTGACAAAGAACCCCTAGCACTACTAGAGTCGGAAGAATAGAAAAGATGAGATACTGTGGCCAACAGAGTCTTTGCTGGTAGCAAAATGCATGAAAGTATGAGTCTTATCCAACCCATCGTTTTCCCATCATTTCTGCTGAAAGAACTAGCTCTTGAAGCACGCGAGCTTTGAGACAATGGAGAAGGAGGACATATGTTGTCATCATCACTATATTCTTCCTCCGATGAGTAATCAATGCTTGAAGACGAATCAGAATCCACAGAGAGTTCATGGATGAATTGATTGAAGGAGGACACACCACTGGATCAAGTACAAAAACAAGCGCAGAGAAAGTTCATCAGTGTGAAGATCAAAATAGTATTCCGAATAAAGAATATCCGACAGGAAAACAATGGTTAGATTAAAACCCTACATCAGTAATTTTTCCTACAAACAAAAAAGCCTGTTATGCCTGATAAATTAAGAGGGGCGTGATAAAACTCTGGCACATAATGGGTGCTCTCTTTTTATTTTTCCCACCATATTTAATCAGCAACTCCTCATGCAAGCTGATGAATCAACCAAAGCAGAAGCAAAAACCAAGATAAACTAAACTAACTTTTCCATCCATCGTGGAAAACGAGGTCCGCGAAAAGTTGGCCTGATCTCCCATCCATGAACACCTTCTAGAATATTAGCCTTCCCAGGCAAGATGGTCAGTAGGAGTGCCGAAACCCCATTAATGAGCCTCACTATATTGTTCAAGGATTCATAAGTAACCGTTTTAACCGACCTGCACTACAGAGGAACAGAAATGGAATTACTCATTATTTTAATTGCAAAAGAGGTGCTTCACAGCTTAGCCAACATTATATACAACAATACACAATCAAGATCCATAACTGACCAGAAACTGACAATGCTTAAAAAGTCATCAGTCGACAAAGATGAGGAACAAGTGGTCGACACAAAGAACGGGAACTGCAAATGTAAAGAAAGATAAAGTTATATCCTCAAAAATCATACTAGATTCTGCTCTAAACCTTACAACACCGATCCCGTCAAGCACGATCAGTCCACGCCTCCAACCGCAAATGTTCGCAATTCACAACAAATTCATGCAGAACCCCGTTACCCAGATGAGAATTTGTCGGACGACGCACGAGTAAAGATTCTTTGTGTAAGTCCGGAGACAAGACATAAGAACGTTGCTGCGCTAGGACCAGAATCACTCAGAGCATCCTTTAAGGGCCACGAACATTCATCATGACATTCTTCCCTTTGTGGGCGCAAATCGATTTCATTCAACTATCTATCCATCTATCGACGAATCTATCTAAGACAACCCAAGAAGAGGGAGAAATTCCAGCAGAGAAGAACCCGGAATCTCATATCATTTCAATCTTTCTTCGTCTCCAACAAACAACCCATGATTCGATGATAGGAAAAAAGAGATCATAGCGGTTCGATTGTTCCCGGGTCAAACCTCCAAGAACCGCAGCGCAGGAAGGGGGGAGGAAAAACAGAGACACCAATCCGAGAGGGAAAATGGGGATGAATGTGGAGGACTCACTCTTTAGTGACTGCGAGCACGTTGTCAACGAGTCGCTGCATATCACGAACCCTCCCCCGTGAACTTCGCGATCCTCTGGTCTGGTATCGTGCAATGAATTTACGAGGCAACGAAGGGAAGGGAAGGGAGGCGGTGGAATTATAACTGTGAGTTTCTTCTTGTTCTTCTTCAACCATCACGCGAGAGGTGGGCACTGGGCAGGTACATATATGTATGAACGCAAAGGCAGATTCTTGAAACGAGAGTCGGATGGATTAATGATTTTAACATCCATTTATCAATTAGTTTAAGACCGAGATTTCAGGAAAGAGGAAGGCGGGTGGCGGGCTGGGGAAGGTAGCGATCGGCGGGAGAGGGAGGCGCGTGTGATTGCAGGGGCGATGCTCGCCGTACGTTGCGAGTCGGCTGCCTTTTCTCGTTAACATCTTTGGGTCCGGGGGGGCATGCAGGAATGCCACGTGGGGAAGGGGGGGGGGGGGGGGGGAAGCCGGCGATTGGCGGGAGAGGGAGGCGCGTGCGGTTGCGACGGCGGATGATGCTTGCGAGTTGCCGTACGTTGCGAGTCGGTCGCGTTGCCTTTTCTCGTTAACCTTTTGGTGGGAGGCCATGCGGGGACGCCACGCGGGGGGGACTGATTGGGCCGGGGCGATAGGTGTCGTTTTCGGGCTCATTCGCGTTCGCGGGGATCGCTGCACGTGGGCTGGCGGGGCAGATGCGAACCTTCGGCGGGGTGACCACGTGGACGGTCGAGATGGGATGAGAGTGGATAAGTGGGGAAATGCTCCCTCATCTGATCTGTCGGCCGAAAGAAGCAAGGCCAAGTTGAACGGTCCAAAAGACAACGCCACGGAAAGAGATGCCATCCACATTTCCCTTCTCCGCAATAAACAATTTAGGAACGCCAGAAAACACGTCAAGATCGACGGATCCAGTTGATTAGTAAAATAGGGAGATTAGGAGACATAACCGTCATCCCGACACGCAAGACCAATCCAAGATGAGTGGATGACTAACCCTCACGCTATCTCTTCGAGCAATAAAAATTTGATAAAATTGGAAAAAGCCGTATTCAATTGACAGATGCCCATTTCCGAATTTAGTTGTATGCTTCGTGTTAACTTGCCTGAAGTGAAAGCAACAAATACGGTTCTTTGGAATTAATCTTCTCCCATTGGGTTGAGCTTATTCTTCTCCCTGTCGATTCGACCGAAAACACGCATTTTAGAGTAAGTCAATGATCAAACCGTAAAGTTGAGTTCACAAAAGGAGATAGAGAGAATCCAAGTTGAGTGCACAAAAGGAGAGGGAGAGAGAGAATTCAACCGACACTGCGCTACTCGTTGACAATTAGATGCCATCGGCGGTGGTCGCAGGAGTTAAAGAAGCATCGATACGAAAGATTGGAGGAAACTAAGGAAAATTTTCCTGGAGTTCCTTAATATTCGCTATGCTCGCTTAAACAGAAGTTTCGGTTCTTACGGAAACTTAAATGGAAGCCCGTCAACGTGCCCTAACGATAAAGAGTAGTAGTGACAAAAATTCATAAATCTAAATCATCATATTGAATTATACTGCTATGCATAGGGAAACCTCGGTAGGTTTCTTTAAATGGGTAAGTAGCTCGGCTTCTCTTTTTATCCACTGGTGCAAGTTATCAGATTCGCTCGCGATTCATGTCTTCTTAGAAGTTTGCAATGTACCCTGACCTAAAAGAACAGGCATCTGAAGATTTCAACTCTGATTCGCAAGTAGTTTCTTATTGAGTGCTCATTCATGGGTGCAGGTGCCCGTCGGACAGTGAGAAGCAAGAGAAGCTCACATATTCGGAAGATGGTTCGCGACAGAGAAACAAATGTAGAGCTTTGGAAGATGCAGATACAACCGCAGCAATTTTATGTTCAGGTTCACGATGAATAGTAATTCATAAGAATGCTATGTGTAATGATTGACTCGCAGGAAATCAATCTCAACCAGTCTCGACTCCAGGGATCCACTTAAGCCGAGCGCGGATATTCATGAACTGATTTTCTAGTGTAATCCAGCAAGTGGCTCGCATAACTTTATCGAGATCTTTGGTTACGCGAGAAAAGAATCGAAAGATTTACTTCACTATGATTTATCTCCAGAGCGCAATTGCTACATCTGAGATGTTGCCAGCAGTGTGCCTTCACCCACATCACTGTCTTGAGTAAAGGCAAATTCTGATACCAGGGCCAGATGATCGCTCCCCACTTTCTGCACGATCAAGATTAAACCACATTTCGTTGCAGGAAAAGAAAACGATTAGTCCGGATACCAAGGGGTAATTTATCTCAGCATAAATCAACTCAAGCGCGAAGGTGGCAACCAACCGGGAATGCTCATAAATCGAGAAGCACTTCGATTTGATAGGAAAATGCACAGAGATAGATGCGTGCAACTGCTACCTATGAACTAGGTGAACAAATCCCTTGATAATTTACTGATCTTATATGTTGCCTAGTTGCACACTGTTTCCTGAATTCTATAACTCAAGAACAAGAGAAAATGGAGTAGAAGGCAGACCAACCAATCAAAACTACTCATGCGGACGCAGTATTCTTCGGGGTTTGAAACTTGTCCAGCTGAACAATACGAGTAGCCAACCATCACCAGGGCATCATCCAGATTTAACTCTTGGAACTATAGCTCTTCGATAAGTTTTAAGTAGTCTTCAGATTATTTACTTAGGACTGTGTTGCTAGCTTTCCTAAAGATCCAAAAGGTTCAATTTTGTTGCTCGTCTATGGATCAAATTCTACTGGTTTTCTGTTACTACGAAACTTTGCATGTTTTTATCTTACTAAGGAAGATCATCTACCAATAGTAACATATAGGATGAGACTGCAAACAATGATTCTTGAGCAACCCCTATGAATGTCACAATCTTAAATTAAGTCCTTCTTACTTTGCATGGCAGACCACCCGCTCTCCGAAGAATATCAACTGAGGGAGTGTCCAGAACTCTCGTAGGTACAAGACCCTTTGAGTACCTGTACCGAGCATTAAGCACACATAGAAACGGTCAATTGATAGTCTCTCAACTGCTCTCTCGAAATACTGATCATCAAACTGTTTTAATGCACGAGGGTTCGTCATGTGTAGTCTATCCTCCTATACAAGTTTTAGCTTGATGATAACATTGTCACCTTTAGCTGAGCATTGTTGGGTCAATGAGGAATACATTAACTGAAAGTAAAGGAAGAAATCTCTTCCAAGAAAATGTCAGTGTAATTTCAATGTCCAACCACGACTTTAACAAATGGATCTGTTTGAGACAAGGGAACAAACAAGACAAATTTCACATAACCAATAGTGCCACAGCCATTATGGAATAGGCCTCCTCTGCAAATGAGACCTCTTAGACATTTAACGTCTTGCGGCTTCTTAAAGTTAAACCTCTAATAGAGGTTATGACTTGTCCGAGTGCTTAAGAATTGCATCAATCCATGCAATGCTTTTACTGTGACATAGAATCATTTCTTAGACTCTTGACTATTTTTTATGCACCATTTTATTTCCATTTCCTAGCCTAATCGATGGATTCTCTGGGGAGAATCAAAGGCCTTTTTTACCCAAGGTAGACCAGACTATACAAGTATATACCAATTACTATTTATACAAACTGATATTTGTAACAGTAGTTTGTCATAGATATAAGGGATAATGACACAAACAATCCCCAAACTTTGACTCAATGTGCAATTGGTCCCTGAACTTTTAATTTGTTCAATGTAGTCCCTGAACTTTAGCCTAATATTCAATGTGATCCCTGAACTTTTAATATATTCAATGTAGTCCCTGAGCTTTAGCCTAATGTTCAATTTGGTCCCTGAACTTTTGGTATATGTTCAATTTAGTCCATGAACTATATGAAAATATACAATATAGTCCCTGAACTTGAATTAATGGAAGGACTACATTGAACATTTTTGTAAAGTTCAGGGACTATATTGAACATGTACCAAAAGTTCAGGGACCACATTGAACAAATTGAAAGTTTAGGGACCACATTGAACAATGAATTAAAGTTCAGGGACCACATTGAATAAATTAAAAATTCAGGGACCAAATTACACATTTGAGTCAAAGTTCAGGGACTGTTTGTGTCATTTTCCCTAGATATAACTGCTTGATGTCATATTCTCTTTGCATCCAATTTGTAATAATACTATACATAGATCGTTTGTAGCTTTTACTAAGTTATATGTCTAATTACTTATAAGGAGAGGAGATTCTGAGGAGCTTATGCTGTCAAACCCACGTTTTTTTATTTCAACTATCTTTCTTTTTCATCTTCACTTTACTGATGGTTTATCTTTTAGTTAAACCTACATCACTTACCATATATAGTCAACTGTCCCAAAAAATTTTGAGTGGTATGAAGTTGCAAGCGGTTCACCATTTGAGTCCCTTGTTCTCGCTGATCCCTGAGAATATTCAAATTTGAAAAACCCTCATAATCAGATATCATCATTCTGGAGAGTAGATGAAAAGCATAAATTGCCCTATGCAGCAAAATTAAGAGATAAGGAACATACCCTTATCGTGGCGTAGGAGCTCTTAAGATTCAATGGATGGGTAACAACCTCACCTTCAGCATTACCACTAGCAGTTTTGATCTCTTCATCAGTCCAGCAACATGTCAAAAATCTATGATGAACAACATTTCAGTATAGAAATCTGACAAACGTGAAATAACATTTCTAGCCATATAAAGTGCAGGAAGAGAAATCAAGCTACTTTTTTCAGATTGATATGTAGTGTCAAACTACTAGACAAGCAAAATGGAGCTTCTCGCATATTCAATGTAAGCAGCAGCTTGACCAGAAGCGGCAAAAAAGCAAATCCAATTGATATACCTGTCTATCAGAAACAAAGAGTTACTTAAGTCCTGCATTTCACCAAAAACTTGAGCAGGGTGGCAGCTTCTTTGGCCAGATAATTCCCTTCGGTCATAAGACACGATATCCAGCTGCAAATGAGGTTCAAATTCATTTCAAAAAGTAGCAAGACTTGGAATATAACATATGAGATGATGCATGAAAGAGAGTAATATTTGACATCATTAGCACAAAGATCAGAATAATGACGAGAAGCACACCTTTGATGTTGACAAGAACTTGTATAAGGCACTCTGTCATTAGCAAGTAAAATATCAAGAAATGAAGGAATTCCAATTGACGGAGGATCAATAAAATTACTGTGTAAGATTTCTACCTGCGGAGTGGTGTTAAAATCACCAGCAAGCAGAACGGGAATACTACCCCATTTTTCTGAGAGACTATTTGCCCTTGAGGAAAGGTGACGAATCTGAAATGTAATCTCACATTTGAATGAGCAAAAGCAATTGTTCAGGATAGCCATCTAACTAACCAAATGCATTGTGGGACACTTCCCCGCCTCTATTTCAAACAACATAAAAGATCCATATATTGCATTCGTAAATTTCGAGATACAAACTCTCCTTAGAAGTTGCTAAGATAAAAACAATTAGACGTTTAGAACTTCATTTATCATGCATTCTAGCAAACGAAAATTAATTTGTTTATGTTCTAAAGGCATGCACGGGCAAATCACCACATTTCAGCTTTTTACGCCACATTCAAGAATTCAGCCAAAAAACAAAATTAGCAAGACCGGAAAGGTCTTTTATGGTAAAGACATTCTTTGATGTGTTCATCCTCCATCTTGTCCAAAAAATTTTGTCTTCCCATCTGTTTCATATGAAAGAGCTGTAACTCATCTGTTACACTCCACAAACTCCAAACTGCCTCCAAGACATGAAGCCACAATCACACTCTTAGGATCATATGAATGCTTTCCAGTTTACAAGCAAGTAGCAAAGTAAATATCCTAGCAAGATACTCCCAGGATCTTAGGTTCCTCTTCTAAGCATAACAACAGAGGTCAATCATCAACGCACACATCTTTAATATTTTGAATTTCAGGTAAGATACAAGAGAAAACAAGGTCGCAACTTACTTGTCCTAACTTTACATCTCCTCTACTCGGGTTATAAAGTACGTGAATATTGCCAACAAGCAGTTGCTTTGACTCCGCTTTGCACGCCTTCCTGCAGGAAAAGAAGTGAGATGTGAAGAGAAAAGCAGTTTTTATCCAAATGAGTGTGAACAGAAAAGTAGAAAAAACAATAGATGAATTATCAGAATCAGGACAGGTGTACTGAATAAATGGAAGAGCCATAATTGATCTTGTAGAAAGAGTTAAATCAAATGTAGGTCAGTTTGAGTAAACTCTTACTCAAGCTTGGCCATCTAGATGCCTACCTGAAAGACGGAAAGCTGTGCTACATTATCACGAAGGCCGAGTTCTTTAAACTTGATGCTCTCTTCTTCTAATAGCCAAAACCTATTTTAGAAAATTTCAGACAATTGCAGTTAGCCAATATAGCTTTGTAGGGAGCTTGGTAACTCATGCCTCGTTAGTGTTAACTCACTCGTTTGCTTTCCAAAATATAGCACAACCATCAACAGCATCTCCAGTGCGTCTCTGCCATTTTCTTAATAGGTAAGCTCTGGATGCCTTTAGCCAACTATATAGTTAGGCAATAAAATCTTGGGAAAACAACGACCTTATAAGAACCAACATATCCTGCTTTCTCTAGAATTTTCGAGAGCTCGAAATACTTGTCCACCTCCTACAATCAAGCGAGCACTGATCAGTCTCCTTCTATTCCAGATGTTATGCCACCAGAGTTAGCACGGATACCTGATGAAAGATCAGAAAATATACCTGCAAGCAGATTATGTCCGGATTCCATCCAATCAGCTCTTCGCATATAACACGTTTACGCCATTCCCATTTCATGTATTGAGATGGAATATCTGTATATAGATCTCTGTGCTTCGAAGCATTTTTATCTCCCAGAATGTTGTACGAAACCATGGTAAATTTCGCTGAAACAAACACACGGAACACCAATGGCAATCAACCTCTTACATACATAACGAACCATAAAATCACAAGAAGATATAAATTAAACCAAAATTGACAACACCGCCGAAGAATCTCATCTATAACCTGCCTATAAACCATTCCAGTATACTAGATTGGGAATTGAGAGAGCTCTGCTTGGTGGATACCACAACCTGAGCAATTAGCAAAATCATTTGGAACTCCACATAATCACAAACATCGCGAGGTGAGACGTGACCTAAATTTTCCACATTAAGACTGCAATTGTCAATTTCCGACTCGGTATATCGCTCTCATCCGCATCAAAGCGGAGATGCACTAAACAAATCATTCCGCCATTTACATCCTCGTTCAGCAGCTAAAAAGTGATTAAGGCAATCCGAACTGACTGCCGCGATCTGCGAAATCAACGCTCGAGCTTGCAAAGCTCTCCGTAGTAAAAAAGGAGAAGCTGGCCGAGAATCTCGGAAAATGACATACTTTGAGAAGCGAGCGGCTGATCGGCCTCGATCCAGCGGCGGACGATCTCCGGCGACGGCCGGTCCTCCGTCGGTACGCGTCTGAGAGGATTGTACCATCGGCGGCCGTAGGAGCGAGCGGACGGCGAGGACGAGGGCCTCGTGGAGTCGCCGGAGCAGCAGAGTGCGGTGGATTTGCACGAGAACGAGCGCGACGCAGGCCTCGTGGAGAGATGAGCTGGAGAGAGCCTGGTGGACAGAGGCGAGCGCGCGCAGAGCCACGAAGGAGGAGGAGGAGGATGACGACGACGAGAAGCAGCTTCGAAGCCCATCGATCTTCGGAGCGAGGAAGGAGAAGGAGAAGGGGTGTGGCCTGCTGTGCAGTGCAGTGCGATGTTCGTCGCCTTGGATAAAACGGATTAAGAATTGGCGGTTGGAAACTGCGAGGCAAGAGCTTGTTTTTATTTTATGGCGGATTTTTCGCTTTACTTTTCTATAATAGCGCTGGAGTTATTAGAAAATTTATATCTTAATTTACGTATTAATCATGTTTTCAAAAAGTTTGAAGTGTTTTGCATAAAGTAAAAGTTGGAATCTGGAAATGCATAATGCTTCGAAAAATATGATATAGCTATAGAAATTACACAGAGTAATTTTTTTTTTCTTTTGGCATTCGATGAGAAACTTCGTATCTGATCAACATGAAATTTAAATTGCATCGCGTGTTGCTTTTGAAGCGATGGTGTTATTTTTCTTCCTCGTTGCTATATAACGAGCATCCATGCCTATTGAGTGATTTTAATCGCCTCGAATATAAAACAAATCCTGTTCATGTCCTTGGGGCAAAGCTTTACTCAAAAGGATGAAGAAAGTGTTTTATGGATCCGGCACAATGATCAATGTGGTATACTCAATCAATCACTTTGATTATATAACGATTCATTTTAATTAACTTTACGTGAATTTTGAAATCTCTCGCTTTCAATTGGCTTGCTTCTTCATGCACCATTGTTGCGTGACATGATGCTGTGGACATGTAAGGGGAATGTCGGGATTGGAGATTAAAAGGTTTGTCGCCACAATATCAAGCACTTTCAACAATCCCTTAAGATTAAGATGTTAGATACTATTCATTTCAAAAGAGTACCGGTTAGTGTTTGACCTGAAAATGATGGAATACAGTTAATAGGGCGAAGATGAAATGACGATGAATACGCATAAAATGCACAAATCAATGAATAGACTAATGCTCGTGGTGTTGCCATACCCACACAAGTATTTCTCCTTTGTATGACCCATCGATATTATGTAAATTCCACTTGAATTTATCAAGCAATATTTCATGTATGTTAAAATCGGAACTTATCAAGTCTATTTAAAATGACTCTAAATGTTTCACTTTTTAACATTTTATCTTTTTCAACTTTTGCAGCGCACGTAATTTGGGTGCTTCTTAATTTCAAAAATTCCCAATACATAAATCGACACATATATTCATACATAACTTCATAATTCAGATCAAAATGAATTTTTTTAAAAATTTTAGCGCAAAAACGAAACAAGCCGGACCTTAAACTTAGATGAGCCGAACTCACGTGAACCGGGTCACACGAGTCGCTGTACGGCCCAAGCTCGAAGATATATTATTATGCTCCGAATATTTTCAAAGGGCTCCTGGTCCGGCGAGCGACGTGGCACCATCGCAACGATTCGAACGATCCGCGTTTTACCAGGAAGGCCCAAAAATCCATTCCCCTCGACACCACAAAAAAAAAATCCCAACGACTTTTCTTTTTCCCCATTTTTTTTCAAATTTTTTTCCCCCAAATTGATTTTTGTTTCCGAAGCTCACTGAAAAATATCACACAGAACAGAGAGATACAGAGAGAGAGAGAGAGAGAGAGGCATCTCCGGAAGTTCCATGGAGACTGCAATCTGCGGTCGAGTTGCTCTTTCCCCACATCACGTTCTCAGCAAATCGGGTAAACACCGCATGCAATAGCGGCATCTTTGTATGTGGGTTCGCGATTCTTCCGTCGATTCGCGACGTCTTGCGTGTTTTCCTCGACCCCTTTCGTTCTTGTTTTGGTTCGATTTGGGTGTTCTCGTATCGGTCGAGGATATTGGTTCCGCGGCCGAAGGAGGCTTTCTTGGAGATTGGGGGGTTGGGCTTTTCGAGTCTTCATTTGGGTCGGTTTAATCTTGTTTTGCTCGGTGGACGAGGATGTTGCTTTACCTGTGTGGTTCTTGGAGACGCCGAGGAGTTTGTGAATACGGGGTCGAGCGAATTGTCGGAGCTTTGGATTTTATTCCGTCCTTTCTTTGAAGGTAACTGGGGACGACCGACTCTTTGTCGCGAAATCGTAATGGGCAGCATTGTCAGCGGTGGGTGGTTGGCAAACCATACGCGATTCTTGTTGGAGCTCAGGGTCTAGCGCTGCTCTCCGTGGGTTAATTTGGTCGAGACCTTGAGATAAAAGCTTGGAGAGGAAGTAGCATTGCTCCACTTTGACACAGTCAGGGAAAGATGAGGAGCTTGTTAGTTGTTTCCCCGGCTTTGCTACGCATCAAAGAAGCTCAGGATTAGGGGACTTTGATATGATTTGTTATTTACACCTAGTTAAATGGGATTGTCAGCTGATTAACCGCTTTCTAACTCGATTGCAAATGGTTTAAAGTCGGTGCGAGTGGCTGAATGTGTAATCCAGGATGGAAGACTGAAGTTGGTTATGCTTGTAACTGGTTCATGCTTCATTTGAGATTGAAGTGGGTGTAGCATGTATTAAGTCTACAAAGCATTTTGTGAATTTTCTTCCTAATATGCCGACAATTGGCATTAATCAATTATGTTCCGTAATGGAAGTTTTGTTTCTTAATCTGCATATAGGTGTAATTTGCATGTAGGTGGCATGAGCTATGCTGTTCCGCTTGCTGCATTTTTCTTGTATCTACTCTCTCCAATATGGTGAATGTGTCCTGCATCAGCAGTCAATTGTGCGTCTCTTTGATTTTTTTGTTTGTAGTTACGGCATATTTACCTTTAGTAGGTCTTTTATTTGTCATTACACATTTTCGACAGTGCTTCTTATATTTCTATGTTATGATTCTTATGTCTGTGGCAGGGGATAGACATTACTTTAATAAAAAATGCTCTCACAGAAGCAGTTTAACGACAATGTCCACCACTGCATTAGGAAAGGGTGGTGGGTTGTTGGAGAGGCCAACCGTAGAGACAACACCTGGTCGGGAGTCTGAATTTGATGTGAGGTATAGACGCTAAAATGCCTTTGGAGCTGCTCCATAATCTAGAGCCCAACTCATGTCTGTACCATTCCACAACAGAATGGTATCCTCACCATTTTCCTGTTAAATTGACTAACAATTCGCTCTCCTTGATCTCTTGGTTGAGCTATAGCCGCTATTGTGTGGCAATTAATGGGTAGAAACTGTCCTGGCCTACTCTGCTCTGCACCATTTAGACTATGGATCATTGGGTTTTCAGCATAGTTGAATAAAGGACTGGGTGTTAGGACAAGCTTTTTTATATTTTGATTGCATCCGTGCACAACCTGCATTGTGTATGGCCTTGCTCATTCTCTGATGAAATACCAATTTTTGTTCAAGTATGACTTCCATTTCTAGCATCATGGCTAAAGAAAGATGCAATGTTTCCCCAGTTGGAATACTGGGTGACTGTTATAAGCAAGCAGTATGGTGTCTGTGATGTCACTAATAAATGAGTGTGCAGTTTCTTTTTGGTCTTTCTTTTTCTCCTCTCCCTCCTTTTGATGGATGAATCTAGAGCAGCTAGGATACTTGTAACCATCGTGTTTCTATGTGTCTCAGAAAATCAAGGAAAACAGCCCCTCCATACCGTGTGATGTTGCACAATGATAATTTCAACAAGAGGGAGTATGTCGTCCAAGTGCTCATGAAGGTTATCCCTGGAATGACGCTAGACAATGCCGTTAACATCATGCAGGAGGCACATTACAATGGCCTCTCGGTCGTGATTATATGTACTCAAGCAGATGCAGAAGAGCACTGCATGCAGCTAAGAGGTAACGGGCTTCTGAGCTCTATTGAGCCTGCCAGTGGTGGATGCTGAAGTTAACAATGATGGTCAACTTCTCTATAATGCTCTTTGTAGTAGTTGCATTCGGCATCTGAGTATAGAGTCAACTCTTATGTATATAGTAGATGGAAAACGCTCATAGTAATCAAAATGCGACTCCCATATTTCAGAAACTATTATTCGGGTGTCTGATTTTCTCTCGAATGTCTCCCTATTCCTCTCCAAAAAAACGAAATCCTGCTGCCCCCGGTGCTTTTGATTAAATTGGATGTGCTCCCTTGAAACTCAATGTTCCTGTCATATTTCCATGCATTTCAACTTGTCGTTCGGATGATGTCAAGTGCATCAAAACTTCCTCATCAGTCTTCATGAACACAGGACGCAACTGCCATCGGTAACAACTGGTGGCTCGTAGTTGTTTGAGAACTGAAATGAACGAGTGCATGGGGGCGCACAATGAGGAGCGTCGTAGCGCCCTTGCTCTTAATGGCTTAGCTCGGAGTAGCATCTTCTCTTGTGGTAGTTGTAGTCCTAGTACGTTTAGCATTAATAATGATCGGTGGACACCTCTTATTGAATAATGGCTTATCACAGCTTGAAGGTTGAGATGCACGATGGGGACATTCGATCGTGTGGTTATGTTTGGTCGATGGAACGAGTTTACTCAAATGGGTTTCTTACAACCTACATCTTTATCCATGTTTGGAGATTCATAGGATGGATCTGCTATATAGAATTACACTCGATGGAATTGCACACGTCTAATTGAAATAGCCACAGTTGATTTATTTGGGGAAAAGTACAAGAAGTCGTGAACTTACTGCACTTGTGCCAATTAAGTCTTAAAATTTTTAATTGTACCAATTGAGTCCTAAATCTTTTGACGACGGAAATCACTGACATGAACTCTGGGCACCGGTGCTAACGTTGACAGAATTTATAATCTTTTTAATATTTATTCTGAATTTTAAAGGAAAAAAAAAAAGCAAGCGGTCGATACGGCTGGCTTTACTAACTAAAACAATAGCTGGACGAACGTGGCCGATGTGGCTGGCATCAAAATAGGAAAAAGCTGATGCAGCTGGCTTTGTTGTCGAAACAATTACTAAAATGACACGGCATGTGCAGCTCGCTTTGCTTTCAAAACAGTTACTGAACGACACAGCTTGTGCCGCTAGCGTTATGATGACCAAGTTGAGAACCGGAGGGGAATATGACAATAGTACAGTGTGACATTGCCTATCGGACGAGAGATGAATAATGTTGAAATCAAACTAGAGGATGTTAGGACTTATTGTAAAAAAAAGTGACAAGAAGTCAGATTAGCTCTGAATGCGCACCTGAGTATAAAGCTCCCAGAACGTCAACTGGTGGTGCGATGCGAGCAGCAAGAGACTTGCTCTCGGAGGAGCAGTGCTCGAAACTCCTAAAGCTGACCCACTTCCTACCTTAAAAAGCTACACCCCATTCACGTCCTGGTAGAGTAATAGGGGTTCATGACAGGCTTTGTAAATAGACATATTTGCTGCCCTTTTTCATGATTTTTTCTTTAGTGTTTGGGTTGGGGCATTAATGCTGAATGCATTTAGGTCCGTCGCTTATGAATGAAGCCTCTTATCCTTTCTTGCATTCAATATGGGGACTGGGATTCCATCGAGAAAGCTACCATGTTGCAAGTTATTTGATAATCCTCGCAATTTCCTAATCACTTCATAGGAATTGTGCTTTTCCTCTATGGATGTCTCCTGAGAAAAAAGGAATGCATCAGGCTGTTAAGACACAATATGCTTGAAATTCCGTTGAGTTGTGTTTGGTTGTCTGGATTTTAGCTAGGATAGTGCATAGGATATGATATAAAAACTTGAGATTTTATTATATCATATCGTATGTTTGATGAATTGCAGCAATAAAATCGGGTATTTTCATATTCTATCATATTCATTGTTTGTTATAAACGGCATATTGATATAAATGAACTTGAAAATGCACAAACGAGATGATAAAAATTCCTCGTGATTCACAGTTAAGAATTCACAGATATACAAACGGAGATAATCTCCATCAATCAATTCTAATTATTATACAAAAAATCCACATCTTAAACAAAAAAAAAGAGCTCATTGTAGCATTCCAAAGCTACAGGTTCGACAATGATAAGAAATATAAATGAGTTACAACAACATTAACAAGGTAGATCAGCAAGAGAAAACATGATTATCCACCTTTGCGATTACAAAAAGTGTAGTACTTTGACTCTCTCATCGCTTTCGTAAAATTTCAATATGAAACACAAGGTAAAGGAAAGGTGGAGTTTCGAATCTTTTGCTACTTTCGTGGATTTTTGACGTGAACCAGAGAGTTACGGAGGAGAAGGAGTTTCGACTCTCTTATCGTTTTCGTGGAGCTTTGATATGAATAATGAACTACGAAGGAGTCGTAAAGCTTCAATATGAACCAGGGATACGGAGAAGAAGGAGATAGAGTGAATTAGAAAGATCTGTTTCAAGTTTGAATTTATTCATTTAAAATCGGACTTCTTCTACTTCATTTTTATATACCTATTTATTGATTAGTTTTCCTCTCTCTTTTTTATTTATTTTTATTCCCTTCCGTCATTTCTTAATAAAAAAATTTATTAAATAAAAAACTATACTAATATACCTAAAATATGTAATAAATATAGATACTAAATATATATACACATACATAATATATATTATAGAATAGAAATTCAAATATATAAATAAAAATAAATTATACCATTATTTTTTTGTTATTTTGAATTTTTATATTATAATGCAAATATTATTTTATATTTAATTATTATTTAAATTTTTTAATTTAAAAAGTTTGTTATTTGAGAAAAATAGCTTTTATGCCATGGATATAAGAAATCGTATCTACCCTTATCCCACTTTCCCAATAGGATTTTTTATCCGGACTATATCTCTTTTATATTTGACTTTATCCTATTTTCTGCCGGAACCAAATAAAGAAAAGAAAATAAAAGAAAAAATAAAAATAAAAAAACTTCTTTTTTTTTTAAATTGTCCAGGTTAATGCTGGCTGCACCATGTGGGATGACCAGCATTAGCTGGAGCATCACGTCAGCAATTTCCGACCGAAATTAACACCAACCTTATTATTGTAGATCCCTTATAAAAAGGACTGCTGCCCAACATGTCGAAAGAATGAGCATTGTTTGACGCCATTAATGATATTGTATTATGATTCCATTAAATTTATTTATTTGACACTCCGAGCTTATTTATATGTTTTTGATATTTTCTATTTCTATTTAGTATACATGATGAAAATAGATGAATGTTTAACAGGGTAGTCTCTGACAAAAACATTATAGTTGGATCATTACGATACTTCTCATTTATGAATCAAGTTAAGTGGAGAACTATAATTGCAGTACACAAAAGGGACTGTGTCGATTAATTACGTACAACCGCTATGACTCGCATTAGTTTTCTTTACTTAATTATGATTATTATGTGATAACCAATTTACTTAATATTATTGTGTACATTATGGTCTTTATTAAATCATGAAAGAAAGGTCATATGGGCAAAGTGGGAGAATGTAAGAATAATTGTGGCCCACATGATATTATTAATGGTTTAATAACTATTTAAATGCTAAAAGAGGCTATGAAAAGTTGCAACCATTATGAAGATAGAATATTCTATGTCCTTTAGTGAAAGACACTTATTGAATGCATTTATTGATAGCCTATATAAAGAGTCTGGTCTTCTCTCCTCTGCCCACAGACAATAAGAGTTATATTCTATCTTCCATAAGATAAAATACATTAAGAAAAAGTGGGTTAAGTGAGAGAAATCGGATTTTTTCGTTAACAAAAAGTGGGTTAAGTGAGTTTCTTATTTGAATAAATTTTAATGTACGAGGGTAGGGTTCACAATCTTCACCCCTCAATCCTTGTTAGCTTAGTTACATTTTGATCTTCCAAATTCACGGAGGTATAGTTCATCATATAGGCAAGTGATTACATAAGTAAATTACTTCTTATGCCCGTGCATCGACGTAAAGCAAGTAATGCAGAGAAGGGTATAGTTTGGCTTTGGTTGAGGTAAAGTAAAATTGGATTATATAATGCTACGGACTAAAGGTACGGTTAGTAGAGCCGGTTCCGTTATGGAAATGAACGGGGAAAAGAATGACAGAAGTAATAGGTTGACATTGACAATGCAAAAGCCTTATTCTTTTTGTACAACAATCTGTAACTGTGAAAATTGATACAGAACTTTGTGTGGGGGCAAAAAAATCTAAAGGATCCTAAGCAAATAAAAACATTGTCCAGTCTGTGTATTGCTCTTCTTTTCCGATTTAGAGAGAGCATCGAGAGCCGGAGTGCCAACTATTTACTCCTGATTGTGAGAGTGGATCCGTGAACAAGCATCCGATGGCACGAATGCGAAGACGAGCTACCCATCTGCAACAACTTGGGAGTCGCCTTTAACGTTCTCTGGCTTGCGGAGGATCCATCCGAAGCATTTCCAACTTGGGAATCGGGTGCGGCACTTGATACTGGACCGGTTGGCCGTGTGATGGCAGACGATCCGACCACTCCGTCCTGATGGGCAGGTGGGAATTTCTCGCTTCTGGTCATGGGATTGGCTTTCTTCATAACTCTCGGCCTCTGCAGATCCACGACAGAAAGTTAAGCAGACAACCGTGAAGATAAGTGCCGTCCTATGGCTCCAGTCGGTTTTGTATTTTCTGTTCAGCAGTTAACAGTTTTGCCTATACTAAACAGTAACAAAAGAATGCATAGCTCCAAACAAAAGAACGTGTTATATGTTTGGCGACTTTGGTCTCACTGAGATAGCAGTTCTGGATTGGACAAGCATCAAGTGCATTAACCTTCATATTGAGCTCCAAGCCTAGGAAACATTTCGACACAGTGAATGCGAAGGAAAGACGATACTGACTCCACGGTGCCAGGGCATGAGTGGGCAAATGCACGTGTTGCCTAAGGAGTTAAAAGTCCTAGGATATTCAAACAATGCAAATGGAGATCCGGTTGTAAATGACGTTTGCTGTTGGATCGTACAACAGGGGCACGTACAAGAACATGCAAGAACATCAGATGAAGAATTCGCATCACATACATGTAGAGTTGCCTGATTCTCTGCGGTGGCTTCTGGAGCTGGATTTACCTTCCCAGCCCGATCATGAACTCCATCCCTCCTGGAACCATGGATTGCGCCTGGTCTCTTGCCTGAATCTCTTTGAACATGAAAAGGAAACCTCATTTTAGAAACATTGACATCAATAGTTGAGACAGAGAGAAATATGGAATGAAAGAATACTAACCTTCTCGCCTTGTCCTTAACCAACCTTAGATCCATCTCTTTACTTGGAGGATACTTTGGCAGACTTGATGGGTCACATGCACGGGGTTCAGCAGCAAAGAACTACGCAGGGAAGTGAACTAAGTTAAACTTCTATGAATTGGTCAAAGGGGGGATTGCCATCTACCCCACTCACATATTTCTTAGCTTGGATTACGTAAATGTGATAGTGCTTCAGATAAGAAAGTACTCCATTATGCTAGCCCTGATATCATTCTCGAAAATGATAGAAATCAAGAAGAAAAATAAAAAACAAGAGCACACAAAGTACATTAAAAGAGGGTTATATACGGCATGGTTTTATTATGATTTTCATGAATGATTTTGTTTCAGGAAAATCTCTGGCTTCACAAACTGCTTCCATCTCTTGAAAGAAAAGAACCAACTGAAACTAGTCAAGAACACTCTAGCATGATATTCATTCCATCCAAGTTCAAAACACTAGGTTGCTCTGCTCAACAGATTGAGTAACCACAACTTACTTCGCTATTTAGTGCTGCTGTGGCAGTGCCCCGTTCATCAGGGTCTATCGAAAGCAGAGTCTCAAGGAGAGGTAGAGCAGATGGTGGAAAGTCCTTGAATGTTTCTGCTATGCAACGAGTGTAAGGCTGTGGTGGCTTGAAAATATTGGCATTTGGCAATTTATATTTGTGCCAATATGCTTCAGATGGTGAGCCACATAATTTGAAAATCTTATGCAGTTGCTCTACCTAAGAAAGAGAGAAAAAAATCAAATGCAAGTCGGGTTTCGAGTTTCAACCTTAAGGCAAAGCAAGCAAAGCAAACTATTACATTGCAATATAGATGATACGTGGGTAACCAGCCATCCGAGGTGCTTCGACACACATACGTATGGAAAATAAAGCCCTCGACCATGTTGCAGAACATATTGATTGAAACAAATGACTTCCCTACCCATGGTTATCACTTAAAGAATTTCCCATTGTACATTTAGTGACATAACCATGCCATCAGGATACAATTTTATAGAGTAAGACGTCAAAAGTACCTCGGTCCGTCCTGGCATAATCGGCTTTCCATAGAGTAACTCCGCCAAAATGCAGCCTGCACTCCAGAGGTCAATGCCAACTCCATAGCTAGTGGCCCCAAGCAAAAGTTCTGGCGCTCGGTACCATAGCGTGACGACTCTATTCGTCATAACTTGCTTGCGCTCAGGATCATAGAACGTGGCCAGTCCAAAATCAGCTATCTTAAGGTTCCCTTCGTTGTCAATAAGTAAATTGGAGCACTTAATATCACGGTGCAGGACATCACGATTATGGCAATGCTCAAGCCCTGACAACAGCTGCCTCATATAACATTTGACCTGACCACATTTTTTGGAGAGGAGTTCATATTTTAGAGATTAGACAACAGGGTTGAGGGGAGGGGTAAGAGAATAGCAGAGGACTTTGACCGAGCATATCTTTAAAGAGGATACCCAAAAGAAGACTGAAAGAAAACTTGAGATTTCACTATGTCAAATCATCGATGTTTTGAAGTCCAGTGAAAAACCCTGGAAACAAAAGGAGAGAGATATCTGTAAATCAAACAAACAGAGAGCAAACAATTCCATGTAGCACTGACTTTCCATGAGTTCCGCAGGTGAAACTGATTAACATGTGAAGAGTGCGGTGAAACTCATTGCTTGTGCGCAGCCTGAAACTGATCCTCTTGTTTGCAATGTTGAAAACCTTATTCCTGAACATGTGAATATTCTAACGAAATTTTATGGCTCAGCGTGTTTGAGAAGTTTATATGCATGCAGCGAGTCTCCCTAGATATACCTCATCATCCCTAGAAGATCTCCTACAACCAGAATAAAAGGTGATACTTCTTTTTGAGACCAACATGCTCTGCTCCCTGAGCAAGTATTGCAAATGGATAAGAAAAATGGATGAGAAACCAACAAAGAACAACTCCATTTAGTTTGTGCCAGTCAGACCAGTTGAAGCATGAAAAAACTCATGTGCAAAAAGGCTCCCAGATGCCCGAGATTTAGAGAAGTTGCGGACTTCACGTGTAAAAGCCCCTTCTAACACAAAACTGAAAACAGAGCTAGAGTGGTATTTCACTAGACACAAAGTCAAATAGCCCCCCCCCCCAACCCCAAATTTACTATATGATAATTTGACAGTCTACAAACCCCTCCCTTCAGTCTTTACTGAACATTCACATCTGAATTAACTTCCGAACATTCTAATTCAACTGTTACTTGGATCTATCATTCAAATTCCCCGCCCAACACAGTTTAACCGCTCGCCGTGACAAATTATACGCTGAATTGGCCGTCAAGTGTATGACCAAAAGCTCATATCACCACAAAAGCCCCTTCAAGAAAACAGAGCTAGAGTGGTATAACGAGACCAAAGCAACAAACTGTCTAGAACAAAGAAAACCTGCCTCTTATCGATCACCAGTTTACCACAAGGAAATCGAAATCAAGGATGATTTCAAATAACCACACAAGAATATGCAATCAAGAAAGTAGGACAGGTTTTGCAAAAAACAAAAAAAAAAGTCACCTGAGCCTCAGTGAACTTGCCATGTTCGCGGGCAGCGATTCCGGAGAGATCGTGTTCCATGTACTCGAAAGCCAAGTAAAGACCTGACGACATGCGCGAAGTGACCAGCCCCTCGAGCTTGATCACATTAGGGTGGTGGTTAAGCCTCCTCAACACCAGAATCTCTCGCGCCATGAACTTGATGCTCTCTGCCTCCAAATTATCGAACCTGACCTTCTTTAACGCCACCGTCTTCCCCGTCACCAGATCCCTCGCCTTGTACACGTTGCTATACGTTCCTTCCCCAATCTATCACACGATCAAACCATCAGAACAAAAGAATGCTAAACGCCAAAAAAATTGAAGAACAGTACACCGGAGGTGGCATAGTAGCCTCGGAGGTACCTTTTCGAGCTTTTGGAAGGTATCGGCGCAGCGAGGGACGAATTCACCAATGGCATCGCCCACCGCGGCGACCAACCACGGCGGCCAGCCTTGCTGGTTCCTGACGAAAGGCGCGGCCGGCAGAGGCTGCGGTCTCTCCTCCACCTGATCGCCGCGGCCGGGCTCATCTTCCTCGGAGCCCGTGGAGGCGGCGGCAGCAGCTGCGGCGGGCGCCTTCTCGCTCGGGCTCCGGCGAGGATTTGGGCGATGCTTAACAGCGGTGCGGCGACGGCTGTCGGTGATGATGGTCGAGATGCAACCCATCTCGTATCATGGGTCAGCCACTGCAAAGCATGGGACGGGGGCAAGATTCGGAAGAGCTTCGTCGATCCAGCAAGCTTAGCTACGTTCACTGCTGCATCATTTACGAAGGAAAAACGATGGTTACGTTCAAATTATACCTGTATACGCATGGGTTTTGTGTATACATATATGCATGTATATGCGCAGGGCAGAGAGAAACAGAGAAACGGAGAGCGCCCGCTATGGCAAGGAACTGCAGCAACAGTCAGAGGAATTGGGTCGTGGAGTTGGCGCGATATATCCAAACTGCCACCCGCCAATCAAAGATGTGATCTTACACATTTTAAGTATGTAAATGTCCAAACATAGTTTTGTTTCATATTTGAGCATCTACAAGTACCTTCTTCACCATATTCTCGTAAAGGAAAAACTATATCCGAATTCATTTTAACAACCAATGGAAATGCGCCAAATCTACTACTACTTGTAATAAGCGAGAGGAGAACGTACTGGGGAGATGCTGATATCTTAAAATCGATATATCGGATGATGTAAATGTGATCGATTCTATCCACTTGTAACCTATCGTATGGTGACCAACTTTTTCATGTCAAGTCTCGATAAAGTTAGCGTTGCTCAATGTAAAGCGTAAAAGAAATTGTCATTTCGTGATAAATTTTTTTGGTCGAATGTGATATTCTAAAAGATGGGGTTTGATGTGATAAAGCAAATGGATAACCTTTCTTGTTCCCCTTGCCAGATAAGATTAACTCGAGTGCTTTTTATTATTGTTAGCAGCCATGGCATCTTTTTTGCCTTTTCTTTTTGGGATAATGACACAAACAATTTATGAATTTCGGCCCAATGTGCAATTTGATTCATGGACTTTTAAATTGTTCAATATAGTCTATGAAATTTAACCCAATGTGCAATGCGGTCCTCGAACTTTTAATCTGTTCAATGTCATCCCCGAACTTTTGGTACATGTTCAATTTAGTCCCCGAACTATATGAAAATGTTCAATATAATCTCTAAACATGAATGAATGGAAAGGACCGTATTGAATATTTTCATATAGTTCAGGACTGAATTGAACACGCATCAAAAGTTTATGGATAACATAGAACAAATTAAAAATTCAGAGACCGCATTATACATTGAGTTAAAGTTCATGATTTACATTGAACAAATTAAAAGTTCAGGGATCAAATTACATATTAGGTCAAAGTTCAAGGACTGCTTGTGTCATTTTTCATTTCTGTTTTTTGTAAGCAGCAAAAATGGTGGTGAGTGGGAGAGTGGTCAGGTCGTGTGGGGGTCATAGGGCCTATGGACCTTCCCCCAAAAGTCAACAGCATGGACAATAAAGTCTTCTGATCGATGTTTTGGGGTCCGAATTCAAAACAGCATTGGCTTCTCATCTTGACCCCTCTCCCCCCGGCAACCAATTGAACTCGCGGGGCCCTACCCTCCTCCTTCTTCTTTAATTTCTTTCTTTCCAGCGATGCTTATTGAAATAATATTTTTATTATTATTTAATTATATAATTTCGATTGATTGATGAAGGCTACGTCCGGACGAATGATCATCGCCGGGCATAAACGAAATTCCATTGGAGAAAAGTCTCTGTGTTTTCTCGCGTGTCACGCTTATTTCTAGTAAGTTGCCAAGTAATTTTATTCGTTTCCCTTGCCGATCCTCGCGACTCCGATGGAAGGACCTATTATTCCGATGGAAGAACTTTGATGCTATTAGTGTTTGGGAAAGGCCATAACACGATCATAACGGAAGAACCGCTCATTCTAATAAAATTTGCTTCCTTTGGAGCAAATGCTTGATCTTATGATTTTGAGACCGTCCAAATTATCTAATTTACTTATAATTATATTTGTCTGCTCCGATCCCTTGATCGTTGAGAACGGAGTACTCGTTTGAGGTGAATATTTACCCCTTTTCGATCCTACGATCTGATGTGTACACTGAGACGTCCACTTACCGTCCAGAGACTGCGACTTCAACGAGCTTAAGTCCGGGGTTGCATTCGTTCTTACCCTTTACAATTTACATGTTTTACTTTTCTCATAGACTTTGCGCGTGACGCCCGTGATGCTTACACCTTTCGGACTCCGTCAACGATTGGATAGGAGACGATTCCAGAAAAGAATCTCGCTCTAGTCAAAACACCCTCTGCAGCAACAACTTCCCCCGCATGGAATTTGTCTCCTCCTCCGGTGCACGAGGTCAAGACTGTACGATCACGAGCGACGACCCACGACCAACCGAAGATGCGGATGAAACCGCGTCTTGGATGGGTGTTGCTGTGGTTAGGAAAAATCGGAAAGGGAGCGTTGAGGAAGGAGATGGAAAAGGGAGAGTCGAGTGGGGGAAAAAATGCTACGCAAGTGGGCACTAGTTGTTGGTGCTGGAAATTAGAATTGAATGCGTGATGGGGAGATGTGATTGGTTGCAATGTCAAAGAGATTCCCCAAAAAAAGAGTAATGTAAGGATGAATGAATCGAAAAGAAGAGGAAGAAGAATAAAAGCTTTTCTTCGGGCTACAAAAAGCAAAGCGAGGCACGGGTCCCATTTTGGACTTTTGCATGCGATGCAGATGCGTATTCCCTGAGCCTCCTCCCCAAGTAACCCCCTTCACAGCTGGGGAATATTTCCATGTTCCATATAAATATATCCCAAAGCCACCCGCGAGAAAGAAGGTGTATAATAGGTAGGGGCGAGCCTATGGGCCGGTTCAAACAAGGACCGATTTGGTTCCCGGTTCCAAAAATTGGAAACAGGTCTTGACCGTTTCAGTATCGGAATAGAACCTGAAACCCAACCGGTTCGAACCCAGCCCTAATTAAGTTCTTTTACTCTTTTTCTTCGTCAATTCAATCTTGTATATATTTGATATATTTTCCTCAAGTAGAAAAAAGCTCTATTCATGTTTGACGCGATGCATTTGTACATACAATAAAATGAAACGAAAAAAAAGTCCCTCGAGGGTCAATAAGATTAGTGAACCAACCTTAAGAGTGTATGTTTCAAGTTTCGAACCTAAAATCTGCACACCTTAAAATTGATCAACGTAATTTTAGCGGAAGCCGCGTAAACGGGTGGTTGTGCGAGTGTGAAATTTGAGAAAACACAACATCAGTCAATCTCAGAGGTCACATCCCATCCCATGTGGAGTTGTCGCATCCAGTTTCAGTGTTACGTCTTATACCCCGTGCTTTTCACAACCAAAACACACATCTTGACTCCGTCCGCCCATCCATTGAAGATGGGTCGACTGGCCTGCCTAATTTTTCAAGATAGCGTGTTAGACCCTCGTGCGTGTTCCCAGGAAATCAAACTCGCAGTCTCCTGCTGCGCACGTTATGCAGCCTTTGAGAAAAGACAAACCCATTTTTCTTGCTTTAACTCCGCCTATAAGGGTAGATGTCGGCAACGCAAGTTCACATGTCTGAGTTCTCTCTACGTTAACGTTCGTAGCACCAAAGATGAGTAGGCTCCACGCCTGCCATTGCCCGTCTTCCGAGTCAAGTGTACAGAGTCCCCAGCATACGGACCAAAACAAGAAGCACCCATTGATTGAAGGAGGTGCAGCAGAAGACAAAAGTTACGAATTGACGTGGCAACTCATCTGTGGCTGTGCCAGATACTTGGATAGGACTCCCCATGTGCTCCACACCATAAAACACTTGGGAGACCTGCAAATTTCCCCGTCCACGCTACATTCACACTTGAATCACAGCTCAGCCCATCTCAATAGTCAGCTTTCTCATTTGAAGAAGCTGGAGCAAAATGGCGACATGCTGCGAAGAGGCAGACTCCAATGGCATGCTGATAGGGTTGGTGATAGCTCTGGTAGTCGCAATGCTCTTCTTTGTCATCTGTCAGCCATACCCTCATAGGAGAATCACCGTTTATCGCTGCTACTGATTAATTATGTACATTTTCATCTTTTCTCTTACTGGAAAAGATCTTACGTTCAGTTCAACGCAATCCTTTTGATTTGCTTATTTAGGGTGCGCATGAATACCATTCTGTGCCCGGGCGCTATTTCTGAACAGAAATGATTTTTTTTTATTCTGTATCCGGAAACAATTTCTGGGTATTTGATAAACTGTCCAAAATTTCTATTCCTAGAGTAGAAAAAAACAGAAATGCATTTGGTAACTACACAAAATTTCTGTTCCCAAATAATATTTTAATAATTTTTGAATTGTTTAATTTTTTTTTACTTTCTTCTTTGGCCATGGCCGTCGCCGACCGGCCACCCGGGCCGGCGAGGTGTCACTACCTCGCCGGCCGCCAAGGGCGAGGTCGTCGCGGACCTCGCCGGGGCGGACCTCGGGGCGAGGCGCCCTCGCAAGTTCGGCCTCGCCAGGCTGGACCCTCGCCACCCATGGCGAGGCCGGCCTCGCCCGAGACGGCGAGGTTCGGCCTCGCCCGGATCTGGGCGAGGCCGAGCCTCGCCGTCGCGACCACGGCGAGGCCGACCTCGCCGTGGGTCGCGGACGGCAAGGCTCGGCCTCGCTCGATCTCGGGCGAGGCCGCCTCGCCCGTGCGGCGAGGGTCCGAGGCCTCGCCCTCGCTCGATCGAGGGCGACCCGCCTCGCCCGGCGGCGAGGGTGACGCCCTCGCCCTCCCGCCCGGGCCGGTGGCCGGTCGCCGGTGATCGGCCCGGCTCGCTAGGGAAGAACAACACAAAAATAAGAAAAGAAAAAAAAGAAAAAGAAGAAAAAAAATTGATTCTCAAAATTGTGCCGATAAACAAGAAGCAACTTTTTTTTACTTCTTGTTTCTCTTCCAAAACTGTTTCTCGACACAAATTTTTGCAAAAATGTGCCGAGGAACAAAAAGTTTACCAAACGCATTTCTGTTCCCAAACTATTTCAAAAGAAATTTTCACTATTGCGAAGTATAGAAGAGCATTCGAAGAAAATTTTCACTATTTGGCACGTTACCAAACGGGCCCTTAGTCTCCTTATAGAAGGAGCATTGCTGGTCACACATGAGAGAGAGAGAGAGAGAGAGAGGAGAGAGAGGTGTGTTTACAGCATTTTGTGCAGTCCAAAATTTGATGTCTCATTAAAAGTGAGGTTTCACTTGACTGCCAAGTTGCCAACATCACAAGCTGCAAATCAACAAAACATAAAGAAAGGCGGGCAACTATTTTGATCTCGCTAACTCAGACCAATTCATGTCAAAAGCAACCGAACTCATTCTTTCATAATCTCTCACATTCTTGACCAAATAAATAAATAAATAATCTCTCACATAGTATGAAAATGAGCTTAGAGAAAATTATCTGCAGGCTGACAAAAGAGGTTAGCATAAATTTCCAGTGTGGAAGAGAAGGTTCTATCTCAGTTACATGCCAAAGTATTGATTTCTATTTTTGTAGGAAAAAAAAGGAAGATGGCACCAAATTTTCCAGCTACCACATGCGACATTCAGCGCACAGACTTTATTCTGCAAAATGCAGTGATCCAATCCCACCGCATATATCCCATTCCCATGTAACCAATTAGGCACGATCATTACAAAACAAACTCAGAAGTCCACCAATAGAAAATCCTGGCGCAATACTCGATGCGATTAGTGCACAGGTTCAGAAATTTAAAATGATTTATGAATAGTGAACCAACTACACAACCACATTCATTGCCAAAGTAAAAATACTAACCAATTGCAGAAGTAGCTCCCATTTCAACAGAGACCCCTTTCTCATTAGCAGGAGTTCATAATCACAACTCCTCATCAAAATTCTTAACTATATTCACTTCCATCACTACACGTTGTCAGTCAATCAAGTCATTAAACTAGTTAATCCAGCATAGATACTTGTCTATAAGGAGGACCGCTATAGTCCACAGCATCCAAAACCATGCATTAGCTGAGCAGGTGAGCTCCATGTAATTAAATCTTTGCAAGTTATACTATTGGATCTCAATCATGGACACTGCAAAGGAACTTTACACTCGGTAGTTGTCGAACCCTAGGCAGAGCAAAGCTTTTCAAGAGCCAAGTTCTCATCACCACCAACAGCGTCAAGTGTACTCCTCACAAGAGGTTCAAGGAAGCCCATTTCCACCAGTCGTTGTACCTAGATCAGAAAACTGACTTATTCCAGTGCCGTCATATAAGCATATTTTCACTAAGGATGCTGTGGTGATAACTGCTAAGTGATGCAAACCTGGTTTCACGAATACTGTAGGAAAATTCAAACTCATGTTGGTTGGGAATCTTACAGAAATGCATTCTAATGTTTTCCCTTCACAGTAATATACACGAGAGCACACATAAATGCACATTTTCGTCTTCACACAATACAGAGCAGCATTACCTTTTCTTCAACCACACACACACACACACACACACACACACACACGTAATATACAGAGCAGCATTACCTTTTCTTCAACCCCAAGGGCAGATGTCTTGGCAAAGGTTTCAGTCCAATATCGCGCTGTGCCAACGAATGTCTGGTAGTCTTTAAGATACTGTAATATCCTTATACAGACACTTTATTATATTACAACTAACTTCATCAGCAAAAATATGAAAACAAAGGGACAAGGCCAGCAGCGAAGGGAACCTGTTGTGCTACCACCGCATCTTGAGGATCATCAGGTTCAGGGGCGGAGAGTAATGCTTGTATAGAAAGGAGTGCAGTCTTCAAAGTGAGTGCTGGGCTCCATTGGTCCTTCAAGATGTCCAAACAAATCGCTCCACTTTGGCTGCTGATATTAGGGTGCCTACACGATTTAATTACGCGCACAATCCTTATATCTGTCAATCTCAATTTTGATTTAGCAACTTATTACATCTAGAGTTCATATTTTAGCTTCCTAATCCACACGTAATGAGATAATGAGGGGCCTCAAATTGGATCCAGAAAATGTTCTATGATTAATTAAACTTTCACAAAAGAGAATTTAGTGCTCGCTAAGTACAGAGAGAAACCCAACTCAAGCTTGAGAGTCATTTAAATGGGATGCTGTTTCAATGGAATGTTAAAAGATACACAAACAGGTTAGGCCTCAAGTTAAGAAAAGCACAGAAACAATGATGAAAAATGATAAGGATATCAACAGGGTTATTTCAGAGGATTTACATGGTTAAGGTTTGGTCAGGAATCTGGACTAGACTGGAGTTTCACAAAATATGAACAATGAACGAGCCATAATCAAGGCACGCAATTTGCTTTGGTTCCTGGTTATCCAACTTGACTAGGGTGACAGCATTGAGTGCCCATCACAAGCTCAGCAACCATCATACACATACAACTACTAGATGTAGTTTGGGGTTCGATTTAATCTTTCAAGAACAACAAATTAGCTACCATATGCATTACCAATTAACGCCAAGAAAAAAGTAGCAAACAAGATTACAACCTACCAAACTTTGGTTGCAAATTGCATTTTGGGGGGCTGGAAAGGATATGCATCTGCACCAAGAAAAAGGAAATATGGTGGATATCAATCAATACAATGCAAGAACAAAATGTCTCTGATATCAATCAATACAATGCAAGAACAAAATGTATCTGTTTCTGCACTTAACAACAGAAAACTAAACTATAGCACATGAACGAGAAAGAAAGGAACACATAACAGCGCAGAACAGAGAAAACTGCGTTGCAGACATTGGAGTTTTTCTAAATCACTGTATTGAATTCAATTTTGCCATTTTTAAGGAGGATCCCCTCCAACCCACCCACCCTCCCACCGGCACACACGCGCACACACAAATGGCGAGTACCATTCAGTTTCTGCGAGGGAGTCCAACATCCTCGGGACAATGGGAACGATCACAAATAAGCTTATGACTTAAAAACTCGCGCTTCACCTGCCTTTTCGGTCCAATAACCACAGAGATTACACAATCGCATCGTCTTGAAACCCAAAACGATGGCCCCTATCGGCGCTCTCACTCCCGCGCGATACCAAAGCAGATACCGAAACCGGAGGAAGAACCTAAACGACATACGAGGAATGTGCCCAAGACAAAAGTCTCGGGAAACTCCGAGCAAACGACGGGGTAATCGGAAAAGGGGCGGGAATGTACCGGGGAGGGTGATGTCGATTTGGAAAGTGCCGCCTTCGTAAGGGGTGCCGACAGGACCGGGTATGGTGCCGACCAGACGAGCGAGGTTGTCGGCTTTAGGGCTCACCCTGATGCCCGACGCCTGGAAGTCCTTGCTGCATTCCTGGAGCTCCTTCTGCACCCTGCCGAAGTCGATCATCTTCGGCCTCAGAACGGAGCGACACGAAACCCTAGGCGACCTCCTCCTCCCGGTACCGGAAGGAAACGAAGGAAAAGGCGATCGTGTCAAGAGAGAGAGAGAAAGGGAGATTTGAACGCCCTTTGGGGGCTCTTCGCTTTATGGAGCGTCGTCATGCTCGTTGCAAAAATGGTCCACTTTCGGTGGGTGACAAGGAAATATTATTGAAATCCATTCGATTAAGGTCCAAAATGGTCCCATCTATGAAGTTTTGGAATTCAAACGTGATACCTATGTAAGGCTAGTTGGGTATTTCTTAAACGCGAAGTATACCCGACAATCTTTCGATAAAGATGATGGCGAGTCTAGCAAAGCTTTTGTATGTCCATCTTGGACATTCTTGCATGGAATTTTTATGGCAAGATCCCCACCAACGATTGCCAGCGATCATATCAAATGTGACGGAATGGAAACAACATGCCACGTCTCGTACAAGAGATCATTGATCCGTGGGCCTTCATTGATCATTTTCTTGCCTTCGCCGGTAACTATATGTCATCATTCTGCATACGCACTATGGAATTGCTTCCTAAAAACTTCACTCGGTCAGTCCACGTTTGTTTGATCAAATAGAATCATAAAACCATATCCCATTTCGCAATTCAGGCATGTTTGTTATCTTTGTATGCTGCAAAAAAGCAGACCAGACAGGAACAACTCAAATAACCTCTGAAATACCAAAAAAAAAGAAAGTGTAATACATGAAATCCATGAGAACATAATGGAGGTCGACACTTGACAAGAACGCAATCCGGCGAAGGCTTGGTCCAAGACTCAGGATCCTAGTCAAGTGAGCTCCACACACTCACAACCAGAGTGTGTTTTGAGGGAATACACAATCATGGAATGTCTCATTAAGGTAATAGTCTAATAAAAAGGAGGTCGTATCAGCATGTTATATACCATTGCTGCCTTACTGTAGCTCTTTGCTGACAGCTTATCCATATTTACAGTAACATTTACAACAAATACCCTTGTCATATCCATCGTCTTCTTTTATCTTTGCTATAAAACAGTAGATATTTTTCCGATTCAGAAAGTCTAATGAATCTGCCAAAGGTTTCCAAATCTCTGATGTCCCATTTCATCATCTCCAGTTGGCAATGCAAAAACTTCATTAGACATATTCCAGCCTGCACTCACCCCTCAGAGTTCCAATGCGAATCAATCAATCCACGATCATTTTCGAAACCACCATCCGTAGTCCTTCCAATAATAATTTCATTTCCGCTATCTCCTGCCGGATTCATCTCCGTTTCTGTATTGGCAATGGCTTCACTCGTCCTAGAAGTCGTAATTCCAACCTCCATAAGGTGTGAAAGTTGAGGCTCGTTTGGTAAATTCACCTTACCGACTCTTTTTGATTCAGAAATTGATCCCCCACCATGTTCTGTTCGATCATCAATGTAGATCTCTCTGTCAACAGTTACAAAGTCTTTCATGGAGCCATCCCAGCTTGGATTGCTCCCCAGTTCTATGTCAGCGACGGCTTTGCTCATTTTCTGGCCAACAAAATCACCATTCATTCTTTGAGAAGGAAACTGAGGCTCCTTTGGTATCTTAGCCCTGAAGTTGTTCTTTGATGGAGGTATCGGAGAGAAGAATACCTCCTTAAAGTTTCCTAAGACCCCTTTATTAAAGGGGTTAGTTTGTCGATCAAAGCGATACCTGAAGTTCTCATAAGTAGTCTGCAGGAGCACATCAACATTGCAAAGCATCAAAGGACATGTCATATCATATGAGAAACTGATGTCTTGGATTTTCATCATAACAAGGCAACTCCTGCCATGACATGTAAAATACAGGAAAAGAGAGGTATAATCCACAAGATGGTGAGTCCGGAAAAACTTTGAAAAGCAGCTTTCAACTCCCCAAGACTATTGACCGGAAGTTTTTGTGCTTGCTTAATCTATTATGAAACTCTTTGAACCCAAAACTTGCCTTTCCCAAGCCCCAAGTCCGAAGCAGCTCAAAGGCCTTTGGGTGTCCCAAGCTACTTTTTAAAATTTTCCCAAACTCACCATGCAGCTATAACTTGAGAAAAATTGCTAACCTGGTTTTTGCTGATGAGATAAAGATGGAGGACAGTCAAGCCTCCGACAAACCAAACTGATACGAAAGTGTAAATTATCAGCACAATGGAGGCGGGACTTTTGATCAATGCTCTCCAGACTGAGACTTGCTTGCCGTCCATGATTCTAGCTATATAGACCCAGCAGAAGCCAAAGATATATATGCAGAGAAGAGTTGAAGAGAAAACGAACATGAAGAAGAATCGGTAGTTCCGCTGACACAGGGAAAAAGAGCCTAATTCAGTAACATCACAGCCACTAGCTAATAAACTTTCTAGAGCAGTAGTGGTAATTCTCACAGCACATATGCGATAGTGCACAGTACTTGTATTAGTAGTTGGATCAAATCAGACAATCATCATTTGAGCAAGAGGGCATTAGGTGTGATAGCCCATAGTAGTCGTATCATTAGTTGGATCAAATTAGACAAACTTCATCTGAGCAAGAGGGCAACAGGTCGAAACCCACATATTTGAAAAACTACCAGTGTACCCCCAACAGATACTACAGATATTTAGTCTAATGTAATGATGGGAAGTATAAAGCTTGATATGGTAATTGGTAAAAATTACCTGCTGAGACGCCAAAAGGTTTCCCAATTAATTACTGTTCGGCGTTTCTATTACATAATAAGGTTAAACAAAACCCAAACCAATTGAGTATATAAAGGTAATTGGCTAAAAGATTACAGCTGCAGAATCTATTTTGGCTAATTTTCAAGAAAGCATTTGTTCCGACTATGTTTTGAAGCAGAAAATTTTTTGTGTCAATCAATTTACACTTTCACCATCCAAAATGATTTTCTGCAATGTAATGAACCTTCCTGCTTCCTGCTACCACAAGAAAAACAGTTGACAACATGCTGTAACATTTTATCATTGACATGTTCTCTGCAGCAAAGTACATGGCACGGGTGGATCACTGCTCAAAATATAAACTTGAAATTTTCTTTTCAATTTATCTTCTACTTACATTAGCTTTTTTTTACAATTGGTCAACAACAAAACTGATACGAAGATGAACTTACCAATCCTATGCACTGCCCAACCCAAGGGCAATGATGGTCAAATCTTTCAACACAGTTGTCACATATTGAACAGTGAGAACATCGACGAGGCCTGAATAGCATGCAAGTATCACAATATTTGAGCTTCACTCGTATTCCATTGATCATCACCTCTTTCTTTCGTGAGGTGAGTCCGTTTGAAGATTGGCCTTCCTGGTTTTGAGAATTCTCATCCTCGTTTCGAAAATTCTCATCAATATTAGCTTTCTCTGGTGGGTGAGTATTACGAGGAACTATACCAGGATCTCTTCCTGACGTCAACAGAAGGAAAATCAGAACCTGATGGGACAGATACAAAGAAATATCAGAGGACAGCACAAATAAACCAGAAGGATTAGCTGATGTTCTTTCTTCCATCTATAAATCCTTTACTATATAAGAATATCTCAAACTAATTTGACCGGTCGTTGCCATCAACCTAATAGAAAATATATGAGGGTCGTAAAGCTTTACTAAGTGAAATTCGAATTAATGCAGAAAGGAAATTTTAAAGTAGATAGGAACCAGACTTACAGATAAAGTCAATACAAGAACAATGACCATTATTGAGATACCCAAGCGATGCTGAAAATCATTAATTAATTTTCTGGCAACAAAGTTACAGAAAACAGCGACAGGAACAATGATAAGCGGTAGAGTTAAGAGAAGAGAGCTCGCATCAGGTCCAAATATTAGCCTCCCTTGAAGACCAAATATCTGCAAATTGGAACAACCAAACATAAATATGCCGAGTAGATGAAATATATACAAGTTAGTAGGGCAGCCAGCTGTGGGTCAAAGAACACTAAAACCCTCGAGAGAGTTAGCACTTCCCAATTATCCTGCCCCGACAGAATTAATCATGATTTGAATAAGAATTCCGGATGAATACCACCAGGACAGGACATGCTATATGAAGACTTCCTTGCTATGAGGACAATGAGCATGCCTACGGGAATCTCGGCGGCAGCAACACAACGACTTGTGCCTAGTTTAAGCCACATCAGCTGTCCACTGGAGAGATTCTTCGACTATTCCACATTTCCTAGAGTCATGTCCAATTGCAGTATTTGGGGAATCCTCCTTGTGTTCCCATTATGCCAATGCAAATCGAATCGATGCTATTATCTATGAAGTCGAACCTTTCCAACTTTCATGCTTCATCGGCGATTAACTGGTATGATTACGTTGCCTACATGCTGGTATGTGATCTAGCCTCAAAACACAGTTCAACATGCATCAAATAGAGCAAAGTTCGATCATTTCTGTACATGGGCACATACTAGCATGCAATACATCCCGCGCAAATCGGCAGAAGAGGAAACTATCAAACAGCGAAAACTTGCACCTCTAACCCACGGTGTTTGACTGGAACTAAGAAACACAACAACACTACACTGACGTTCTTGTTCAGATTAAAACCACCCAAAGTGAACGGTGACCGGATTCAGCGGACCAGAAACACCTCGGGTCAATCCGACTTTCTTGCTCAGCGACTACGGCCACAGCAAGAAGAACATGCACACGATCAAAAACCAGTACTAGCTCGCGCGATCCGCCGCGAAGCTCCGACCCCGTGTACGAGAGCGGGATTCGAAAATCCAGAAGCGATCGAACTAAGAAGGAGCAAAGTTGGCTGCGATCGAAAGTAAGCGAGGGCGAACACTCACATTGCTTCCCTCCCAGGCCTTGTACGCTCGGACGAACCCCGCGCCGCCGGGGGCGTGGGGGGCGGCGGCGGCGCCCGCCGACGGAGGAGGGTAAACTGCGTCCGCCATCATCTTCTTCCCCTCCCCTGCTCCCTCCCTCGCTCTCTCTCTCTCTCGCCGCGTCTCTGCGCAATGCAATCTGCAGGAGTCAACGGAGCGAAATGGCAAGGCGGGAAGAATCAGGCAGGGCATTGAAGGAGTCCCATTCGAGGGGAGCAGCAGGAGAAAGGTCAAGAGAAGGCGGCTCCCCCCTTTTTTTTTAGGAAGAAAAACTTTAAAAAAAAAAAAAACCTGAAATAGTGATGTGAGGTTGACTGTTCAAAATTTCGGAGGAATCGGAGTTGGGACGTCGGGTTCCGCCCAACGACCGTCGCCTCTCGCGGCGGCAAATGTCGCCGTCACGGCGGTCGGCGACTCCGTCACTCGCATTCAATTCTAACCATTAACAGATTCAAATTGCCCCCTTTGTTTTTTCTCTGTCTGCTGCCGTGTCTCTTGTTTTTTGGGCAGAGGAATGTTGGAGTTTGGACAGAGTCCCACGCCACGGTACGGTCCGATTCCGACCCGTTCGCGCACTCCAACCTCAGGCTCGCTGCAATTGCTCCGAATATTCAACTTCTCCCTTCGCACAGGTCAGTTCCGACACCCAGAAGTACCAAACCTATTTAGTCACCCAACCAAGAAAGTACACAGACATATGATTGCCATAAAGATAGGCGCGTGCGCGACAGCACCGATGACGAGAGAAATCCGTCCAGACGAGATACGCGAATGGAAAATTAGTAATCGATGGCAATGAGAGTCCAGTTTGAAGAGGCTCGTATATGGAACGTCTCGAGATAATACATGGAAAGGCCTGCCAATGCGATTAAGAATTCCTTCTTTTTTCTCATATTTCCTTTTTTGATTTTCTCCCTTTCTTAAACTTAACATACTTGATTTATGGTGTCTAATATGATATTCGTACGTCTATAAGCTGTGTATTTTGTCGTGCGGCGACAAAAAATTTGGTGCTTATAACTCGCGGAATTTTACTTTAATTTCATTAGACGGAATAATTAGGCATTGTTGTTTTATGATTCTACAATATTTAGCAAGGGTTACTTGCATGCATACGAATTCGATATTTTACGGTACGATGTGGCATAGATTGCTAATTATCGATATTTTTACTTATAAGTCCATCAATACATCTAGAGGCGATAAAAAGATATCATCTTTAAAATCTGGTGTTATAAGGTGAAAAGTTAAATGGATCCGGTTGTGCGCCATTGAATCTCAATTTGGCATGTGTTATAAGTTATCCTTTTCATTTGGTTGGATAGATAGTTTGACACTACATATATAATAAGTTTGATGGGAGAGATTTTCTATACTTAAAATGGTCCTATCTAAGACCATATGCATCCATGATCATCATCTCATAACATGCGGTATGTCTTATAAACATAGAATTAGCCATACCCATTATTTCCTAACATAATTTATGTGGTATATTCATAGAATTAGCCACAGCTGGGTTATGCTAAATATGAAGAATTATTAGGCGTGCATGCATTATCTATTAGAATCAATGTGTACCGTCAAATCTGGTGGAATTCATATATGTTCATAGGGAACCAACTTTTTGAAAATGTCCAAAATCCTTCAATTATATATAGAGCATTCACCTAATAACTTCTACTATGTGAATAACTAGCTTCGCGTGTTAATATTTTAAAAATTTAAGTATTTTAACGAGAGAGTCTTTAGAAAGTTTTCTTGACGTGTATATATGTTGCAAAAGAAATAAACGATTTTAATAGAGATGTGCAAAGAATGCTCTAGATGATGGAAAAATTACCAAAAAGGTCATGAACCTATTGCACTTTTGTCAATTCAGTCCTAAATTTTTTAATTATGTCAATCGAGTCCTAAATATTTTCATGCTTTACTAATTGAGTCCATCCAATCAATTTTGGTGACGTGAACGCTGGCCACCCTACGTAACATAACCTACATTAACGTGGACATTTTTAAATAATATTTTGATAATTTTATGGTTTTTTCTTTTTTTTCATTTTCTTTACTTTTTTTTGGAGTGATGGCTGGCAACCCTCATCAGTACTGGGTGAGGGTGTTGCAGCCCTTGCCTAGAGCCTACGACCCTCACCGACTCTCACCCCAAAAAACAAAAAAAAACAAAAAAGTAAAGAAAACGAAAGAAAAAAACATAAAAATAATAAAATACTATTTAAAAATGTTCACGTCAGTGCTAGTCGTACCATGTCGGACAGTTGGCGTCTACATCAACAATTTCCAACAAAAATTGGTTGGATCATCTCAATTGGCAAAACAATGAAAATGTTTAGAACTTAATTGGCACAATTAAAAGGTTCAAAACTGAATTGGCAAAAGTGCAATAAGTTTAGGACTTTTTAGATAATTTTCCCCTTTATAGGCCTAAGGCTAATATGTGGCAGATAAAGACGTTATAATGTTAAGTTTCCTAAACACATAAAATATAACAAAAACAATTTTAGTGTACTATAATGAAATCTTATTTGAAATAAATCTAGTTAAAAAGTAAAAAAGCAAAAAGAAGTTATTCTACAATGAAAATTGGTTCAATTGAAAGGTTTGAGACTAAATTGGTACCGATACAACAGGTTTATAACTTTTTTGGTACTTTTCCCTTTTAATTAGCAATAATATCAGTCAATTATATATTTGGAGGAGCTCCATACTTTTAGCTAACATTCTAATCGAATAAGAAGTACTTATTCTTAAACATGAATAACTATTTCTCCTGAGCAACGTATAACCTCAAGCGACACACCATGTACACGTTAGTAGCTATATGCAGAATGGAACTAGTAAAACCAAAAGTAAGTCCTCCAAAATCGTTACCTAAAGATCAAAATGTCCAACTTCAGTACCTTTTAACCTGAAAAAATTATAAGTAAGAAGTGAGCAACCACTCGCTCCATAAATAATTCTCAAAATCTAAAATAGGAAGATCTTTCTCCCTTATTGTATCAATTAAAGATAATTTTTTTAAAAATCAATGGGTCACCTAGACGGTCACAACTCCGCTCCGCTTCAATTTGATTATTATAATAACTCGTACATCACTGATGAATATGACCTCATTTAAATTCACATTTTCTAGGCACTAAACAATCTCATGTCAATGACGTGACAATCAAGCGAACACGTGAACACACGTATGTTATGAATGCAACATATACCGTAGACGGGGTCTAAGAATTCATTGTCTACCAACCAGAGACTCGCGTCACAAAGGGCATCACCCTAAAGGCAGTTGATACAATTTCCTTAGTTGTAGTCCGCGAGGTGCTGTCGTCCAATATCACTTTATTTTTTTAGGATACGCCCAACTTGTATCCCACTGATCTCGCGGTCGCTTGCGATAAACATGACATCACTCGCAAGCTTACATTTGATTCGAATCTTTTTTTTTTTTTTGGTTATGACAACTTCGTTGACATTTTTTGGGATCGAACCAGATCGAGTCCCTGGACCCTTCACACCCCTTGCCACCAGACTGAGATGTCGGTGGTGAATCCATCTCATTTATATTGCAATCCGATATCCTCTTAACGCAACTTGATGCTTTCGATACCTTATTAATACCATCTCTAAGGTACAAATAATCAATAGCATGTCGATTTGAATTTAGGCATTGAGCTCGCAATTTCACAAGGCAAATGATCAATCTATTTAATCAATCGTGGGCATTGAGCTTAAGTCACAAATCTTGGACAAAGCCAAAGTATTCCCCATCCACCCCCAATTTTCCTCACCTCCCCCCACTTCTTGGACACAGCTAAATCTTTAGGGATAATGATACAAACAGTCCTTAAACTTTGACCCAATGTACAATTTGGTCCCTGAACTTTTAATTTATTCAATGTAGTCCCTGAACTTTAGCCTAATGTTCAATTTGGTCCTTGAACTTTTAATCTGTTCAATGTGGTCCCTGAACTTTTAGCACATGTTCAATTTAGTCCCTAAACTATATAAAAATGTTCAATGTAGTCCTTGCACTTGAATTAATAGAAGGACTACATTGAACATTTTCAAATAGTTCAGGGACTAAATTGAACACATACTAAAAATTCAGGGACCACATTGAACAGATTAAAAGTTCAGGGACCAAATTGAATATCAGGCTAAATTTCAGGGACTACATTGAATAAATTAAAAGTTCAGGGATCAAATTGCACATTAGGTCAAAGTTCAGGGACTGTTTGTGTCATTTTCCCAAATCTTTAATCACAATGCTATATAGTGCATTGCTTCTTGTGAAATTCCTTGGAAGTAGTTCTGCGCAAGGGCGTGGGTAGGTAATTGGGCTTTTAGGGTGCTTTATCTTGTTCCAAATCTGGCCCTCTATGTAGCCCAATATGGTTCTCTCTGACTGCTAAATTCTGCTGCGATTATGAATTTCATCCGTCTAAGCAGGAAAAGAATATCTAAAACCTTCTTCTGACGATTTTCATTTTGGACATGGCTTGGAGCTGCTTCTCATGTATTGATTCAATGCAACCCCAAGGTTTTTATTTCTTCTTCACCACCATCTTCATTCCAACACAACCACTTAGTTTTCTTGTGAACGGTCAGAGGCAAGGGCCGACCTCGCCAAATCCCGACGAGCTTGAGCCTCGCCAGCCTCGGGCGAGGCTCCCCCCAAGCCTCCCCCGAGGCTCGAGGTGGAGCATGCTGGCCTCGAGCAAGACTAGCCATCGCGAGCGAGGTCAGCCCACGCCAGATCCGACAAGGGTCCTCATCGGCCACGGTGATCGGCAGAGGAAGAAAGAAAAAATAAAAATAAAATTTTTGAAAATTTGATTTTTTTAAATTGCAAAAATTATCCTCCTTAGCGCCGGCCGTGCCACGTATGATGGTCCATGTCAGCAATTTCCAATCAAAATTGGCCAGATGGACTCAATTAGAAAAACATGAATAAGTTTAGGATTCAATTGACACAAATAAAAATTTTAGGACTGAATTGGTACAAGTGCAACATATTTAGAACTTTTTTTGGTAATTTTCCCTCTCGATTATTGAAAATTCAGAGACGAGCACATGATGTGCAACATCATTTTCAAATTCATAAACTCGTAATGTCAAGAAAACATGACGTGCTGAAAATTGTTAGAATAAGAATGATGAAGATAGGGCATAAATCTAACCTAAGAACGAGCAAAATTTTGCAATAATCTAATCCAGGAGAGGTGAGATATAAATATTTATTGGAAATAGATAAACATTGGAATAATATGTACTAATGAACACATACTGCAAGCTCAATTAGTGCATTGAAAATTGCAAATTTTCCTTATCTGATAACTTAACTATTGTCCTAGGAGCACTTTTCAAAAAAATATAAATTACCGCACTCAAAGTAGCATTACGGTAATTCATATATTTGATAATTTACCAAATTTGAGAGACATTTACCACCACACTTTTTAGGCAAACAACATATTCACTACTAGAAATGAAATCTTATGTATTGGAAAAACTAACCTAAAGTGGCACAAGAATTATCACTACATTTGGCAATTTATCAAATTGACTGGAATTTGCCAACCTCAACTTTCAAAAGACAGTACCAG